CCTTTTACGATTGAAAAATATATTCGAGCAAAAGAAAAGGTGTAAAAAATAAATTAATAGCGTTTTTAAAAAAAAACAAAAAACGGTAGAATGAAGGGGTGGTGCGGTAAACAATTTTTTCTAAAGAAAGAGATGACCAAAAACTGAATAGAAATAGTATTGATTAACTTATATAAATTTGGAGTAATAAGTAATAACATATAAGAACTATTTACGACAATGGAATAAGTAAGTGATTACTTTGCTCTTTCTTTGGCTTCGGGATATTGGCTACAAGAAATATATAAAACATAAAATAACATTACTATTATACAGTTAATAAAATCTGGTATTTATACTACCATGTCATCTACAACAGTCTCTTTAAAATTGAAGTTACTAGTCCAATACAGTTCATCAATAGGAATAAAATGTTGTAAATTTAAATTATTATTTTTACAACGATCGTCAACACACACCAAGCCTTTTAAATTTATACTCGAATAAAAAAAATTAACGGTTTTTATTTAGAACTAAGTAATATTATCAATTTTAAAAATCGTTCGCAAAAATTTGTAAAATTTTACACTTACGCACGGTATCTTTTATTTTATTTTTTAAAACATCATTGAGGTCATAGCCTTCTACAATTCAAAAATATACAAATTAAATGTACATATTTTTTGCTGATAGTAATCAAGTGATATTTAATTGTATACAAAAGTGGTTACCTCTTAGGCGTCTAATATCTACACGTTCTGAAATTAAAACAAAAACATTTTATACTTAATATATTTCATCAAATGACCATACGGAAATAATTCCATAAACCTCAAAGAAAATTATTACCCGGTACAACCAACAAAACGGCCAGTTGTTCTGAAATAACCGTAACACAAAATGATTATAGAATTGCAATACTGGTTTGCATAATTTTTTTAAAAGTACCTTTATATATTTGCTAGTAAATATTAATCTATGTTGATGAATTTTTAACTATAAAATAAAATCTAACATGGGACGTGTACATGATTTTTCAATGATTCTAGATTTCAAATAGACATATAATATTTTGAAAGAAGTGACTTAGTGAGTAAATTGATAAGCTCGATACGAAAACTAAAAACTCAGAAAGTGTTGAAAAAGCATTAAAAAACCGAGTCGATTGTTAAAAGTATTAAGGAAAAATCATAGGATTTTTAAGGTCATATTGAATTTGACTAAAGACAATACAAAGTGATCCGTTTAATGTAAGACACTCAAAACCTCTTAAAATAATTGCAATTTTTTTTATTTTTATTATTAATAAACATATGACATCTTAAATATGTTTAACTTTTTTTATTATTTTTCAAAAAGCTATCAATGTAATAGTTAAAATCTATCGAGTATGATTTTTTTTGAGTTGAGAATAAAATCATTCGTCATAAACTTTAAGCCTTGATAATTTAAAAAAATATATATTCAAAACTGGTTATCAATCACTCAAAATTAAGAGAAACCTATTCTTAGTTTAAAAATTTAATAAATGACAAAGAGATTTAATAAGGACAAGACAATATAATAAAATTACTAAAATATCACCTTATTTAATATATTTCAGAGCTCTAACCACTTTTGAAATTTAAATGGTAACGTATATATTTAATTAACTTTATAAATTGAGAATTTTTTTTTTAAATATTTCGCTGGTCGATAACCATAATTAGATAGATACTTAACATTTTTAACTTTAAAATTAGTTTTTTTTAAACTGGTTATCAACCAATCAAAATGTTCAGCAAACTACTGTCAATTTAAAAAATAAATTAAATATGTACATTCCCATTAAGTTTTTAAAGGTACGCGTTTGAAAATAATTTCTAATAGTGTAAACTAACATGAACTAAAGTAAATTGTTTTTTTCTACTAGCAACCGGTATTAGTATTTCTTTATTATTTTATAACTATGGCTACCCATTGAATATCCACTTCCACGAACAACTTCTGTAATTACTTTAGATAAAACACCTATAGTAAACAAATAATTTTCGAAGTTATAAAAAACTCTCAAATAAAATCATAATAGGTATAAAATGAATCTTCAGGACAAGACTACACCATGCTCTATAGGTGGTGGCCGTTATTTAATTAACGTTATTCGTCCTGTTAGGTTAATTAGTCATTGTCCTTAGCCAAGTGTGCTAACAATTATTTATAGAAATTGCTGAGTATAAATATAAATGATTTGAATTTCATAAATTAAGCATTTAGTGCAATTAAACATTGGTTCTACACACTTCCTGAACTCTTCAACTGTTTAAAAATTGTAGTTCCTATAAGAAGTATAGGAACTACAATTTTTTAAATTTTAATTTATATTCTAATCAGACAAACATAATAAAATAGCTTTGTCAATTGTGCTCTGGGAAAAACTGTCCAAGTCAACAATTAAAAATGTATTTAAGAAATTAAATTCACAAAGAACAACCATTTATAAAGTCGTTTTGTGACTAAGATGGTTTTACTAAAAAAAAAAATAATAATAATAATATACCTATCAGTACACGAATTTAAAAAATATTTTACCTGCATAAACAGCCTGTTGGATATAGTAGTCTGTAAAATTAAAGTGAATTAATATAAATTGCTCTTATGTTAATTATTGTTTACAGATAAAAATGAAACTTTTCAGTTTTTTAATATCATTCGTCTTTGTAAGAGTTTCAACATACAATTTCGGTAATTATTTTATTTCCACGCTTACCTATTCGCGATAGTTGTAAATTAAGAGAAAAAAAAAACAATCAATATTTCAATTGTTTTCACAGTAGGTATATTATTGAAGGATGTTTTCATAACAAGTCGGTATGACATTTTCGGTTTTACAAAAATAACGCTTTAAAATTTTACCGTTTTTTATACATATTTTAATACAAACGCACACATCGAGCTTGCTTATAATATGAATATATTACAGAAGATAATTTTCTATTAAGTAATTAGTAAAATTATTCTTATTACAAGCAAGCTCGACGTGTGCGTCCGTAATAAATTATGTAAAAAATATTTATAAAATCGGTAAAAATTTAAAACGTTATTCTGATAAAACAATAAAATGTTACCGACTTGTAAATGGAAACATATTCTTCGTACGGTAGTCCACTGTAAGAAAAGTGAAATATTCATTTCTTTTCTTTTTTTTTCATCTACCTCAAGTAGGCGGGTGTGGAAATAAAATAATTAATTGTATTGTACGCCGAAACATTTACAAAGACAAATGATATTAAACAACTCAAACGTTTCATTTTTATCTGTAAATATTAATTAACATAGAAGCAAACGATACGAGTAACAGTCGCCGCCAGTTGTGAAGGTTTTGGCATTACAAGACTGTGTTTTTTTTTTTTTTGATAAATATATATAAATATTATATTTCTTTTCGTGTTGACGAAAACCCACGATATTTCCTAGGCCGCTAAATTGATTTTAACATGGATATATTATTATATTTTTGGCCTGTGGGTCATTCAATAATAATAATTAGCGTCACGGCACGGTATATGCAACGCTATCTGGCCACAAAAAAATTGTAGACAGAGGAAAGGAAGGGGGGAGGAGGGGAGGGACACGAGTCAGGTGAATTTGACTCATTGCCCAAAAAACATCCACGTTACATTTTTTTTACATAATAGCTGTAATCATTTTTTTCGTATGGCTAGATAGAAATAGTAATTGAAACTTGAAAGCTAATGTGCTAGGCGAAAATTTGTAATTTATAAATCCCAATAGAGGTGCACAAAATCGGTAGTTTGATGTATTTCAAAAAAAGAAAATCGAAAATAGATCTCTTTCAACTAGTTAAAATAATATATTATGTATTGGGCTGCATTATTTATGTTAGAAAATATAGAAAAATGTTTAACTGGACGTTTAACGTTTTAATTAATAATATCTTTAATAGACACTATACTCTAGAGTTTACCTTTAAGGTAACATAGGACACCTGAATCCTAATTATCATAAGTCTCAAAGTGACTACGCATACACGCTTATTAATTACAGAAAAATAATAACAATTTTTATAAATATAAATAGATTTGAATTAGAGTTTATTTTAAGAATGATGATGGCAATTTTATTGGTAAAATTAGTACCCATTCGAGTCATTTATACAGTCAAGGGATAGAACCACATTACTAGAACTTTTTACTAAAAACTTAATTTCATACAAACAGTCATCGATTCAAATTTACTATTTTGTCGTGTAGAAATTTGTTTAATTTTTCAAGATTACCCAAATAGAATGAATCTACTTATTAGTTATTTAAAAAAAAAAAGAATATCTGTTTTCTATCTATTACGGCCGGGGTCGGATAAGCCTAACGAGAAGAAAAGAAAATAATAAATTAATATAAATTTTAAAAAACATGGAAACCGTTAAGTTTTAAAACTATAACGTAATAATAACTTCATCATTTACATTGTTTTAGTCTTTAAAAAAAAAAAAATTATAGACTGTCCATTTAGTCAGGCTGAATATTCATTCAGTCACGACGACATCATCCACGACCATCGCATCTACTCTGTCTTTCGCTTCAATGTTTTGTATACTAGCAATTCTTTTAACTATCATGCTCGTGTATTGGTTAAAATCATATCTAAAATAATAATTTAAAAAAATTAATACGGCATGTTGCGTCGTCTTAGGCAAGATGACCAAACTTTGGTTTTAAAAACCCATAGCCAATATTTATAAGCGTAGCAACAAATAAAATTTATTTTTATTTTTTCTTATACTTTAGACAAATTCATTTAACTCTTATGTTAGATTTTTGTGTAACATTAAAATAACAGTTTGATTAAGTTGGCGTTAGTTTGGTAAAGACTTTATCCAGTGAACGTAAGAACTCCATGTTATGTGTAATTCCAGCCGAAATCACTATGTATTTGAAATGAAATAAAAACCTATTTAAATATAAAACACACATCGTATAAAATTAATTCACAGTTAATATTTAAATAACTCATTCGGCACTCACGGTCTTTTGAGGGTACAGTCCTCGCTGCTGCTTAACCACAATTGTGGGAGTTTATGTTTCCGCCTTCTTTCAATTCTCTCTGTCTGACTTAAAATCTTTGCTTCCAAAAACTATCATCTTAGGCCGATTAATAACGCTCTACCAAAAAGTAATACTAAATAGATAAAGTAAAAAAAATGTAATTAAACAACTGTACTTACAAGTACAGAATCGAACTACTGGTTCTGCGTAATGATAAACTTTATAACGAGTAACCGCTTTGACGACATTGTAGATACAACAATTTATTGACTGGGTGCCCTTGGCTATAGTAAATTGTCCATCGTCCGAACAACAAACAGAAATGAAAGCTTTGGGTGAAAAAAAAACAAAACAGTTATAAATTTGTAATAATTATTATAATACTACTAATTAGGTATCGAATAGTGTATACTTTGCTAGATTTTATTTCGCTGTTATGAAATCAGTATTGTTTTGGCCGGTCTCTTAAGTTGTTTCTACTTTCAGCACTTCCCACTCGAGTCGACACACAAACGTAAAAGACAATAATTGGCCAACCAGCATGGCCACTACTTTTTTGTTGTCCTGGCGAAAAACAATGGGTACTCTGTCATAATGTTAAATGGCCATTTAATTTTAGATTAAAATTATAAGCATTTAAATACGATCAATAATAAATTATATTTTGGGTTAACCTACCTGCTCAATATCATTATTAGGTCTAGATAATGTTTTTTTAAAAGCTACGATCACAATTCAGTCTGTATGTCTCGTCGGTGAATAAGAATGAAAATTATGGTAATTTTCTATTTTGTACAACCTGATTGTGGCGTCTTTACTGCACACCACAAATAAGGTTAGGCTGAAAAACAAAAAAGGTAATACCATTCAATGCAATAATAACTCTTGTGTATTATTTCTAACCAGGAACTGTTGTGTTGTGGAATATGTCGCTGAAGACGAGTTCCATTGCAAACTTATCTGACTGGCCGTTGAAGCGACCCGGTATTTGCAGTAGGAAAACTAAAATAAAAATTAAGTTTAGCATGAATCATAATGCAAACGACATGATAAACTTTTAGATGTACCTACAGATAACAAGCGGCTATGTGTTATCCATTGGGACTGTATTTTATGTGAAGTTCTTTGCAGTTGAAACGATACTTGTTGATAAGTATATTGCTAATTAGTCTGAACATATCTGCTTCACCAACTAAAAACAAAGGCCAAATTGTAACCACAAATATTCCAAAAACCTTTAATTGTTATGAACTACATTCGTTGACAGCAAACAAGAGAGTTCCAGCTGAGGATACAGCGATTTGTTGGTATTGTGTGAAAATTCTGCTGGCAAGTTAGATGTGACAAATTGCTAAATAATACGACAAACAAATAAATGGATTAAAATTTAAAAAATAAACACAAACAAATAAGTATTTGTAATTAGGTATATAATATAAATAGTCTTCAATCAGAAAGGATCGCTTATTTTTTTAAATTCTACTTGGATAGACGATTTTTCTGACTGAACTTACACGATAACTTTGGAAAACTAACAAAACATTTACAACAAACAAGTATATTAATTCATAATATATTATGTACTATTTCATACCTTATAATCTCATTGTGTATAAATTGTAATCCTCATTTTTACCGACCAAACACTTCACAGTTCACACGATAATATTGTATTATGGAAAGCAAGGAATATTTAAATTTGATAATTGAAAAAATGATTTTGTTTCATTAATAATTTGCGATTCCTGTTTGGTATTTATATGTATGAAGTTAGCAACATATGATAACGATTATTTTCCTCCGAACCGAATAATTGTTATCACAAATTGATAAAATGTTATCGCTAACTTCATACAAGTCAGATTTGAATAGTAATGAGAAAAATGATCTTCAAGGAGAATCGAATAAAATGCCTCCAAACTAATTCAAATTACCAGAGTTTACTGGAAATGCTATTGCCTTCGTAGCTGAAAAAAAGCAACTAAATATTATAAATAAAAATATTTTTTTTAATTGTTCAAGGCAACAAGATAAGTTTTTTTCCATATTTTCTCTGTTTAATCAACTTAAGGATAGATTTTTTTCTATATTTATATTATACATCACTAGTAACAGAGCTTCTTGCATGTTAAACAAATTAAAATAGGTACATAATAATGATTTATTATTTTAACCAATATAGTAATAGTACTCTAAATACACAGTAAAGTAACTCAAATTTTGTTTTTTATTCTAAAACCGGCTGGTTTTAAAATTCCCAACAAAAGTAATAGCATTGATTACTTCAACATTGTTATTCTCTTTATCCCTAATTGAACATAATATTAAGTTTCAGTAAAGAAAACTAATTATATTATTATTCAAAATAAATGTCTGTAATTTTAAGCGTACCCGGAGTGTTGTACCTATTGTCAATAGGCTATTGGCTATTACATTAAATTTACTACTAAACAAATTATCAATATAATAAATCATTTAAAATTACATAATCATGTGCTTAAATAAGCAAGACAAGCCAATTGCATTCGCCAACGACCATACCACGTTGAATACACCAGTTCTCGTCCGATCACTGAAGTTAAGCAACGTCGGGCGTAGTTAGTACTTGGATGGGTGACCGCTTGGGAACACTACGTGCCGTTGGCATTGTTTTGCATATTTATTTTCTTAAATATTTTTGTTTTTATTACTTTAATAGACGTTAGAGCCAACACCTACATCACTTATTTTTATCATGCACATATTTTGATAAATTTTAAAAATATTTTTACTGAATTTTTGAAAAGGTAATCCATATTAAAATAAAAACTGCAAATCCAGTATACATCAGTAAATACAAACATACATTTTCATGAACATTATTTTGAATTTTAATCATATTAATAATCCATAGAATAATGTAGTTATTGTTAATTTTAGTTTGCCTTTATCCTTCTACTGCTTTTTTTTTTTTGAACTGGTTAATATTTAAAAAATGTATTAAGTACCAGTAGTTAATGTTAATGTAACCCAAATGTTATGTGTTTGGTTGAGTTTTTATGTATGATTTCGTGTGTTGGATTAAACGAACACTGTTTAGTATAGGAATATAGAAATGGCTTACCGAGAACACGGACTGGGATTTGTCCACAATTAAATTAAATTTGTTTTTTTTTTTTTTATTGGTCTTTATTTAAGTACATCAGCAACTAAGGCCATTAGGGTACATGCTAATTTTATATTAAACTATATAGTTCAGTTTTTTTAAGAAAACAAAGTTCATGACATTATCTTGAGCGTTGGCTTGACTCAACGTTTATAAACTAATTTTAACCATGCCTTTCATAGTTTAAAAAAAAAATGACATTTCTGTTTTTTTACTATTTAGGTACTCTCCAAGTGAAAAGGATGTCTTGCTTATTACTCATAACGGTTAGGTAATGTCAGGTAACCTTTTTCACAATAGCCCGAATGGAGTCGTATATGAATTGTTTTTCACGGTTTGAAATTAAGATACAACGATCATTTTCGATCATTGCCTTTTCTATATAATATGATTTTAGAAATCCCGAACAACTGAATAAACCCATAAGGAAACAATAGTTTTCAAAAGTCATTGCTGGTTCGTTTCCACCTTAAAAAATAAAAAAGTTTTAATCATTTTTGTTTTTTTTATTTAGCTTACTAGATTGCTTTATTGCGTCAGATATAACTAATGCACGTGTATAAGTTATAACGCTAACTAATTGGTGTTAATATGTTATATTGTTGTGAATTGTTAAATATGAAATATATTTTGTAGACAAATTTATAATAGACTTATTGTGCCCATAGAAAAAAAAAATGAATAAAAACTAAATTCCAAAGACAAACTAAACGTATGTTAGAAAAATAGACTATTAATAATAAGTGTTATGACAGTTCTATACTTGTATTATTATAAAAAAAAAAAAACTAAAAGTTGTGTTAATGTCATAAAAACAAATCCTGGATATATATGTCTATACCTACTAATAAATCAATTATTGTTAATTATTATTAATTTTTATTATTATATATCACCATTGTCATTAAAAAATTGTCATACAAATATTTTTGTAAAATAATTATTTTAAGAAGTATATATTTACATAGTAACCAAAAAAAAACATATGGATATTTACTTGGTGTGCTGATAATTATTTGTTTTATAGTTTTAAGAGTCATATCTCTTCTTTCATATCCGTATAGTAAATCATCAATCATTTTTACTGCAAAAATGAATAAGAAATGGTTTTTATAACAAATAATAAATTTAATAAATTTCGAAAGTATCAAATTCAAAATGATATAAGGTAATTAAATTATGTCAATATTAAAATAACTAATTATAATCGCATTACATTTCAAAAATATGTACTATTAATATTTGTTTTATGCAACCCGCAATTAGTAGTGAAAATCGAAAATAATAATATTTCTGTAATTTAAACTAAAAAAAAAAACTACTCAAAAGGTTCACTGCTACATTTTAGGTCGTACAAAGTTTATAAAAAAAAACCTATTGAATTATTTTTGTTTTGTTTTTACAATGGTCATAATTTTTCGAAATAGTTTTTTAAGAAAACCAATGAACATGTAAAACTGTATTTAAAAATATCCATCTTATACCCCTTTAATGATTTGAAATATTATCACCGGTAAAAGTAGACAGTATGAAAAGTCTTTGTACCTTTTACGATTGAAAAATATATTCGAGCAAAAGAAAAGGTGTAAAAAATAAATTAATAGCGTTTTTAAAAAAAAAAACAAAAAACGGTAGAATGAAGGGTTGGTGCGGTAAACAGTTTTTTCTAAAGAAAGAGATGACCAAAAACTAAATAGAAATAGTATTGATTAACTTATATATAATTGGAGTAATAAGTAATAACATATAAGAACTATTTACGACAATGGAATTAGTAAGTGATTACTTTGCTCTTTCTTTGGCTTCGGGATATTGGCTACAACAAATATATAAAACATAAAATAACATTACTATTATACAGTTAATAAAATCTGGTATTTATACTATCGTGTCATCTACAACAGTCTCTTTAAAATTGAAGTTACTAGTCCAATACAGTTCATCAATAGAAATAAAATATTGTAAATTTAAATGTTATGTTTATTATTATTTTTACAACGATCGTCAACACACACCAAGCCTTTTAAATTTATACTCGAATAAAAAAAATTAACGGTTTTTATTTAGAACTAAGTAATATTATCAATTTTAAAAATCGTTCGCAAAAATTTGTAAAATTTTACACTTACGCACGGTGTCTTTTATTTTATTTTTTAAAACATCATTGAGTTCATAGCCTTCTACAATTCACAAATATACAAGTTAAATGTACATATTTTTTGCTGATAGTAATCAAGTGATATTTAATTATATACAAAGGTGGTTACCTCTTAGGCGTCTAATATCTACACGTTCTGAAATTGGAACAAATAAATTTTATACTTAATATATTTCATCAAATGAAAATGCGGAAATAATTCCATAAACCTCAGAGAAAATTATTACCCGGTACAACCAACAAAACGGCCAGTTGTTCTGAAATAACCGTAACACAAAATGATTATAGAATTGCAATACTGGTTTGCATAAAAAAATAAAAATACCTTTATATATTTGCTAGTAAATATTAATCTATGTTGATGAATTTTTAACTATAAAATAAAATCTAACATGGGACGTGTACATGATTTTTCAATGATTCTAGATTTCAAATAGACATATAATATTTTGAAAGAAGTGACTTAGTGAGTAAATTGATAAGCTCGATACGAAAACTAAAAACTCAGAAAGTGTTGAAAAAGCATTAAAAAACCGAGTCGATTGTTAAAAGTATTAAGGAAAAATCATAGGATTTTTAAGGTCATATTGAATTTGACTAAAGACAATACAAGGTGATCCGTTTAATGTAAGACACTCAAAACCTCTTAATATAATTGCAATTTTTTTTATTTTTATTTTTAATAAACATATGGCATCTTAAATATTTAACTTTTTTTATTATTTTTCAAAAAGCTATCAATTTAATAGTTAAAGTCTATCGAGTATGATTTTTTTTGAGTTGAGAATAAAATCATTAGTCATAAACTTTAAGCCTTGATAATTTGAAAAAATATATATTCAAAACTGGGTATCAATCACTCAAAATTATGAGAAACCTATTCTTAGTTTAAAAATTTAATAAAAGACAGAGAGAATTATTAAGGACAAGACAATATAATAAAATTACTAAAATATCACCTTATTTAATATATTTCAGAGCTCTAACCACTTTTGAAATTTAAATGGTAACGTATATATTTAATTAACTTTATAAATTGAGAATTTTTTTTAAAAATATTTCGCTGGTCGATAACCATAATTAGATAGATACTTAACATTTTTAACTTTAAAATTAGTTTTTTTTAAACTGGTTATCAACCAATCAAAGTGTTCAGCAAACTACTGTCAATTTAAAAAATAAATTAAATATGTACATTCCCATTAAGTTTTTAAAGGTACGCGTTTGAAAATAATTTCTAATAGTGTAAACTAACATGAATTAAAGTAAATTGTTTTTTTCTACTAGCAACCGGTATTAGTATTTCTTTATTATATTATAACTATGGCTACCCATTGAATATCCACTTCCACGAACAACTTCTGTAATTACTTTAGATAAAACACCTATAGTAAACAAATAATTTTCGAAGTTATAAAAAACTCTCAAATAAAAACATTAAAAGGTATAAAATTAATCTTCAGAACAAGACTACACCATGCTCTATAGGTGGTGGCCATTAAATTAACGTTATTCGTCCTGTTAGGTTAATTAGTCATTGTCCTTAGCCAAGTGTGCTAAAAATTATTTATAGAAATTGCTGAGTATAAATATAAATGATTTGAATTTCATAAATTAAGCATTTAGTGTCTATCGAACATTGGTTCTACACACTTCCTGAACTCTTCAACTGTTTAAAAATTGTAGTTCCTATAAGAAGTATAGGAACTACAATTTTTTAAATTTTAATTTATATTCTAATCAGACAAACATAATAAAATAGCTTTGTCAATTGTGCTCTGGAAAAACTGTCCAAGTCAACAATTAAAAATGTATTTAAGAAATTAAATTCACAAAGAACAACCATTTATAAAGTCGTTTTGTGACTAAGATGGTTTTACTAAAAAAAAAAAATAATAATAATAATATACCTATCAGTACACGAATTTAAAAAATATTTTACCTGCATAAACAGCCTGTTGGATATAGTAGTCTGTAAAATTAACAGTAAAATTAAAGTGACATTAAAGTGTTGGTTTGTAAGAAAAACAAATGCTACTGACCTGTATAGAAAACCATTTTTTTATATTTCTCTGCAAAGAAAAGTTAAATATTGAATTTTATTTTTACCACTTTGATTAATTAAAGTATACGAGTAATTAAGGTACGTGTAAAAATTAAATAATTACCCACATTAACGGCCAAGACGTTTACAAAGGTACACGATATTAAAATACATGGAAATATGTTCATTTTAATCTGCAAGTAATAATTTACAATAAAACCTTTTGTATAAAATGCTTTATAAACACAGTCGCCAATTAATATTCATTCCGACGAGGAGCTGAGAAGGTATTGCTTTACAATTAGAATTTTGTGTTTTTTGTAACTTTTTAATCGCTGGAACAATATAGAACTGTTTTGGCCCAACGAAGTTTATCTGTTGTGTACAATGTTTACTTTAATACTGACATTAAACAAAAATTGGTCTAGCGGTTAAAAATGTATTTCAAGACTAACCACATGCGAACGTACAAAAATAATAAATTTAATAAAAAAAAGTGTACCTTAAAATCTTTGCAAATCGATTGTACTACTCACTTTAGCTGTTGGTCGAAAAGTAGATCACAAAACACAAAGATGAGTCGATAGAGTTTTTAACAGCTGTCTTGAAGTGGTTTCTTGAGACTCGTCGTTGGGCTTACACGCGAGTCGACTATTTAGTCTACTTTCCAGGGTACCTATGTTATTTATTTACAAAACTGTCTATTTTGAAAAATATTATTTCGTATTAACATTATGCTTACGTACAGTGACGACTTTTTCCTCGCGAGTTTTTGGTTTAAATTCTTTTGTAGAACTTGTATGCTTTCCATCGACAACAATTTTTACCTATAAATTCTAATATATATTTTACAGCTCGTCATATAAAAGCAATTCATAATAAAATAACTGAAGAGATACCTTTTTTGTATTTTTCATTGTGCTTACTCACGCAGCTTAGGGATTCAATATACGTCGCACAATTTATGGTGTAGGTATTATTTTGTTTTTTCGGTTTCGAATGCACAGCTGCGACGACAATAACAGTTCAAATGCAAAATTTAATTAATCTCCCCCCCCCCTCGCAAGGCTTGAAATTTGTTTGTATTATTTATATATTTTCAAGTGCAATTTTAGGATTTTAGAGCTGGAAATTAGTGTGAAAATAGGTCTAACGTATACCTGTAAACGCGTGTAAGTCCTTACTAGGGTCCATATAATAGATGATATGAGAAAAATATTAGTATGATTTGATAATTTTTTTTTTCCGATTTAACGTGTTTATGTTAAAATGTATACAAATATCTGCAGGCAGTTAAACAAAACTATAGTCCCGAATTTTTTATTTGTTCATTATGTTATAGATACAGATGAGTTTTAACTCCTAACAAATTCCACTAAATTTTACTTAATTTATCAAATTCAACAATTCAACTAAATTTACGGCTAAAAAACACAACAAACTTCAGATAAACATGGCTTTTTGTTCCCTCGGCTAAGAATAAACCATCTCTTATCAGTTCTTATTAGTTTAACTTCTTTTATTACTGTACTAATAATATATATATATATATATGTTCCTACTACTAGTATTGATTTTTAAATACTTTTTTTGCTAAGGCTTATTCCCCAAATCGATTACAGTCTATTTAAATAAGAAATCCTCCAAATTTCTTATCCCTAGCTCAACTCTAATTACTTCCTTATGAATTGTTTATTTTTTAAATTTGAATGACATGGGAAATTTGAATTTCATAAATTCTAACTTGAAAACTACTCAACATTTTTACAATTAAAAAAAATATCCTTCAAGCTGAAGTATGACTTTTGAAATTATATATTGTGATAACATTTCATTTAGCAAGATATCAAGTTATGAGTTTTATCAGTTTCAATGGGCTGTAACCCGATAAACAATTTTGACAAAGAATTTTCTTATTGTGGTAGTGTCATATTTCAGCTTTAAGAATCTTAATATATATTTAAATATTAAACGTCTTATAGTTGGAAAAATTAGACATAGCCTATTATTAAAATATATTATATTATTATTAAAATTTCATAATATTAAATTTAATTGTTTTTTTTTTCAGGATTAGTTGTTGGTGCCACATAGAAAATAAGTACTCGCCTAAGTTATTTATTACTTTATATAATATTATAATATTGTATAATCATTGAAAAAAAAATATTTTTGTTGTAATGTATATTATTATTTTCAAACAAAACTTTTCGGTGGTGACCTCAAGTAACATGTTATTCTACTATTATAGTATGCTATCTTCAAAGTATTAAAATCAATATCTACGAATAGCGGAATAGCTTATTTATTGTGTCTATTTGAAAAACTTTTTTTGTTTCTTAGAGTCATGTGCTTTTATTGCGAATCGAAATCGATAAGTGCGCCATTAAACAAATGGGTTATTATTTTAAGTCTACCACATTCGGCTATACAACAATGGTATAAATTGACAGTTCCTATATTTTATTAGACCTGCCAACGAAACCATGACAGATGATGTTAAATTTCTTTAGAATAATAAAATATTAACAATCGGTGGTGTATTTTTAGTTTAGATTACATGCTAAACATTTTCAAAATCGTGTTTAAATACTATTTGAACTTCTCAAATTTTCCGTATTCGCATTATAGTCTTTTTTAAGTAAACAAAAAAGTTATTCATATATTATAGAAATTTTCCTGAAAATAAATCGACATGGTCGAAATTTATTAAAACCGCCTTTTTTTTTAATATTGCCTTTATAAAACCGCGCGTTTTCAATCACCTTAACGCCTTCAACCTTGGCATTAGCTCTAGCATCTATTTTGTACTGAAACGCCTTTTGTAATTAATACCAGAATAGTATGAAATATAATGCTATAAAATATGTCACTTGTGGCAATTATTTTTGTAGTTATTATCTTTATTGGAATTATTTCCAATGGTTTTATTTTTTATCAGCCCCGCCAAAAAAACCTCATTTCCAAAACTTTCATTCTTGGCTTCAGCAAATAGGTTATATCTATAGATATAATTATATATTTTTATAATGGAAACGTCTTATTTTGTTTTTATATCCCACTATCTGAGTCATATTGACAATTTATCACAAGTGTCAAGTATGTCACAAAGTAATGATTTTATTCTACAAGTCATTATTCTCGAAGAAGTTTTTTTCAACGTTTCCTTATTTTTGTTAAAAACCTATAATTTAAAAAATAAATTTTCCAAATTTTGCTGTTATTAAATTATGATTTTAGCAAAAAGGCAACAATACTGTCAACCGTATTTATATATATATTTCTGAATATTTTTTTTGCAATTTCAAAATAAAAACTATAACTAAATTTACATCCGAATTTTTGCCTATTGTGGTTTTGATTAACTAACGACACTCCTCTTATTTATTAGAAATTGTTTTTTTATAATCCCAATTTAAAGCTAAACCTATTCTTGCTTACAGTAAAGTAGCTATTGATGAAGTAACTAAACAGGCAAAATATTATACAATTAAGTCGTAATGTTGGCGACTAAAAGCTATGGGGCAATAGGAAACATTTGTGCCGGCAAAGGAAAATCAGGCCAGAGGGTTAGAACGTTTCTAACACAATAACAGTATTAGATATCTTCAGGTGTAAATGGGGTCGAGCACGCGATAGAGTAATAAAACGTCAGTCGCAGCACATGGTACGAACATTTGTTTTACTTGTTTTTGGCAGTTTTATACAATGCGCTATTTAATATCTACTTTTGTAGCCACATTGATTGGTTTTTCAACGCCAATTGTTGCCAAACACAGTCTCAAAGATAATGACAATTAAACCCTTCTATGATCGATAATAAAACACACCAGATAACGGTTTTGATAAAATATCATTAAGTATATTACATTACAATAAATAACGATAATGATATTTTCGCATAACTCGAGTTAGTAAAATAAACAACACAATAATAGCATGTAACAATTATATCTGTTAAAATAAATCACAAGTTACGATAATAATATGACGGTTTTTTTTTGCGTTTATACCGAAAAAATGTACAATATAATTTACAATACAAAACGTTAACGTTGGTGTAATAATGTTATATATAAAAAAATACTATATTATTTTTGTGTTTATAATACTATTGATTGCTATAACAGTCCGCCGCAAAGATGAAAAAAAATACAACGTGACACCATACGAGGGAAGACAAATAAAATACATAATAATTATTATAATATACAAAACGCATATAGTGTTACACGACTAGCAGAAAATAATACACACTAGCTATGGGCGGATTGTCGGTATACATACGATAATACAACTACAACGAGAAAAACATATTATATTATTAAGTTTCAATAATATAACAACACACGATGAATGTCGTGTAAAATAATATGTTTTTTCAGTTAATACTGTTTGAGCAAACAAATTCACTAGGGTTTTGAAAACCTATCTCTAATTATAATAATAATAATAGTTACACTAATAATTAGTCTAAAAATAAGGCACGTGATGCTAATTATTTAGGTATTGTACATGACACCTAAATAATAATATAATTATTATCATCTTTTTTATTGATTTTCTCAGTCTAATACGCGTTGCGGTTTAAAAAAAAAAATAATTGTATTATTGCCGTTAATTTCCGCTTATTATATTTTATATAATCGCCGCTATATATATTCACACTATATAGCAGGTATAATAATAATAATAATGATAAAAATAATAATTTTTACGGACGGATATCGTGTACTCGACCCTGTTAATCAATTCATTTTTATAGATATAGACATATTGTTTTTTGGGGGGGGGGGTTTTCCCCCAAAATATATTATATACACTACTCGTATACAGGCGCCTCACCGTGTCTATGTGGAAACACGGCATTCCCGTCGAAAGCCACGGCCAAGTCGGCACCGTCTCGATCGTCGATCCCCGGGGGATAGATCCCTCGACGACCGTCTCTCTTCGGCGGTTCCTCGTGTGTTGCAAGACAAACGTTTGCCGGGCAAACGGCACTACAGCGGATCGGTTTGAGTGGACGTTTCGACGGTGTCGTTGGCGAACAGATGGCACGAACACTGGCAGCCCGTCGGCGAAGCGTCCGGGCTCGAGGTTTGGTCGTCCGGTTCCGCGTCCATCGCCATTGTCAACAGCGATTCTAACCGTTCGATTTTCTCCAAACGATCCATCAACTTGTCCGACAACACGTCGTCCATCATCTGCATGGATTCCGTCAGGCTCGGTTGTTCGGATGCCAAAGACTGGAATTCGCCTGTTGAAACGACAGAAAAAATTACAGCAATAATTATAACAAAAACTCGGTACAGTTGGGGGGGGTCGGGGAGTTTACCACGGGTCTACGTGAATTATTACAACCGAGAGTGATCAAAATCACTTTTGAATAAACGCCGCTTCGATGCGAATCTGTGGCCAAACCAGCGCACAGTAAGAAAGTAGCAAGTAGTATAGAAGTACAGTAATGTAAAGTGTGAAGTTGTAGTAATTGGACACCACCGAACTCGGTATATTATGGACTTTATGGTTTTAGACCCAAAATAGCGGAAAAAATTGTATTTCTAAATATTTTTTAAAAGGTGCGTTTCGCTTATACATATTTATGTAAAACACATGCTGGTTAGTCACTTCTGGACAGTCGAACACAATTTAAATAAGATAGTAATAAACAATAGACAATTTGACGGACAACATATGACACCATATCCATCAAAAATAGTTTTTTTTTTAAAACTGTTTAGGTAAGAAATATACATTTTATGAAAATATAATTGTAATCAAAATGTTTGTTGCAAAGTGTAGAGATAAAAATCCTACAACATTTATATGTATTACGGTTTAAAAAAAAACCCCATTTACTGACCTGAAGCAGAATTGTCCGACGACGTGGATTTACCGCTTATGTTACTGTCCAAGCTGAGAAATTCGTTTGAATCGCATTCTTCGCCGTTGGTTTTTCTAAAGCATAATTAATTTAAAAATTAAACTCCATGGTTTTTCGTAGACAATTTAAAATATCGATACATACATATTTTTCCCTTCCATTTTTTCCAGTTTTTTGGCGACCTTCAACGACCCTTTCAGTTTCTCTTTGTCCTCGTCAGTCAATTCCAAATGCCTATTGTAACAAAAAATAAATAAAATAAGAAAACTATTTTGAAATTTGATTCTTGAAATGCACATTTATCAAATAATATACCAACCTAAGTAATCTCAGTTCTCTGTTGCTGAGAACGACATTTTTCCCGTTATCGGCAGACAGTTTCTCCTTCAAGACGTGTAGCTCGTTGTCGATTTTTCGCTGATGTTTGCGTTTCTGCACGTTGTCTGGCACAATAAGCAAGTACACTTGCTCTTCGCACAGTTCTTCGAGTAATTTTGAATTGGACGGATGAATTTGACTACAAAAGAATAATGACAGTAATAATAAAAAAATATTATTTAATGTTATATTTTTTTTTTTTATCAAAAGCCATCTCCGACGGTATAGTAGTTTGTTTCATCCGTACTATTTTATATTATTTGATAACAGAGCTCGACTAGAGAAATAATATTAGTATAGCTACTATAAAAATAATATATTAAAAATAGTTTTTTTTAACTACTTGACAATCTACAATGTGTATGCCAGTTAGAATGAAAAAAAAAACACTAAATTAAAATGATACACAATAACGACTGTCGAAATTTATCTCTATACACTACAATTGATGGCTTAATTCAAGTACGTTATGAATTTTCAAACCAATTTAAACCCTTAAATACATTTTATAATTGATGATTTCTCTATTATTAAAAAGAACTTGTCCTAACTTAAACCAACACTTGACCCAACTACCAGAAGGGACGATCCACGCTGAAAATGATATTTTCTATAACAGATTATAGAAATTAAAAACATTTCTATGGCGGTAATTGTTACGGATAGCTAATGAATGATAATTGTTAACTAACACTTATTGAAACTGGAGCTGTTAACAAAGTATTGACAATTTCACTTAGCTACAACACAATACCATACCGATCTGTTGAAAATGTTTGTCTGTAATTTACATTATGAAATTCTTCAACAATATCATCGGGTATTCGGTGCATTGAGAGCTGATAGTATAATATTAATTATATATTATTATACAACTCAGACGATAAGGTTAATAAACCTATCCGTGTACTTAATGTATGCACGAAACCATATAAATTCCTCGTGCTATCAACACACCAGGTATCGCCATTATTGAATTACAAAATACTATGTTTTTCTGCTCACCAGACCAGACAATATACAGTTGTATTATATAATATATATATGACGGCTAAGCCCATTGGCGTAATCAATGGGGTGTTTGCACACACCAAACAAATCCCAGCCTTTATAGAGTAAAATAATATTGTCGTTGAGTTTTTATTATATTTTAGAATTTAATTTTGTTCGTTTTATTTTATTTTAATTTAAGTTCAACAACCAGATAAGTTATCTAGTAGGTATTTGATAGAAACACAAAACAGTTGTCAGGCGAAGACTACTGGAGAGTGGAGTGTAACACTTTGTTTGTATATACTTTGTAAAACTTTATTTCAATTTCACAGTATTGTAAAATACAATAAACAAACATTTTTTGAAAAAGAATAACTACAAACTTTCAAATTTTTTAAGAGGAATCGGGTGTCCTGCGTTTAACGGATAGCCCAGTATTGTATAGAGTCAAATGCGACTGGCAATGTTTTTCCTTTAAGGAAAAGATGGAACTTATGATTTTTTTTTAAATAAAGATCCCCGGATTTTTAATTGAATGATTAAAAAAACATTAATTTTAAAGAATACTCACGCAGACATTTTTTTGTACAAATGAGGCATTAGGGCGAGCACGTCGCTGGCGGCATAAGCCAACATGTCCCTGGACAAAGGCCTTCGGAGCCAATACCTTTGGTCTTTCTTGTTGAGGGCTCTAAGTTGATCTTTGGTCGGGTTTTCGGGTAAACCGTATTTTTCGCACATGGTGTTCAGGCTGCAGTTTTTGGCTTTGTACACGGGTTGACCGGTTTCTTGGTATTGGATCACGGCGATGGCGGCCTGGGGGTTAAAAAGGAAAATATTACATTAACAGGTAGGTAGGTAGGTAGGTAGGTAGGTACGCTCCAAATACCAAAAGGTCTCGGTCGGTAATTAACCGTGAAAAATAAATTGTACACACAAAATAAATGACCAGGAAAAGTATGGTTTTAAACCTGAAAAAAATCTCAAGGTAAATAAGGTCAGCGCTACATTAAAAAACAATTAGAAAAATAGTTGGGCGTTAAAACATTGTTGTACTATCTAAGCCGAATTGCGTTCAAGAACACTTACTATTTACTGCAATAACTATTGATGTATTGCTAACCGGAGTGCAAAACTAGCAACTACTATGATGTTAACACTTGTGCGACGACTTCAACTACAGAAAATGTAATATATATTGTCGCTTAGTAAAAATATTCAAAATCACATACAAAGAGTCAACGCACAAATTAAGCGAGGGAAATTCAGACTTTTTCAAAAGACTGTTAAAATTTTGGTAAAAAAATCAAATAGTTGATTGGGAGCTAAGCCCGATTGGTTGCTGACATTTTTGGAGAGTCTAGAGAAATTTAGAAGAATTTTACTTTATTACTACCACCCCGCCCTCTATTTGCGCCAATATCCATAAATACTAGGCTACTTAAATAGTACACGGTTTTACTGGAATTAATGTTGTTGGAACAAATTAAAAAACACACACTCTTAATATAGTGTAGAGCACACTATATAAACTCACCTGTGTGTCGAACACGTTTTTCATGGCGATTCCAAACTGGTTGTACAGGTTCAAGCTTTCGTTTCGACAATCGTTGATCACCTGTAAAAAAAAAAAGAAAAGAAAATAGATAAGTATAATTATTTACTAATTTACTAGAAAAACACTTGTACGCTTCGTAGCTAGAATCTCACAGGTAAAAATGTTGTCAAAATATTTTTGGATTTTTAGCTGAAACGCATTAGCATAGATTTTCGTTATAATCGACTATTAAGTCCTTAAAAACTACCTCGTTTTTTAAATTGTATTTTAACAGATAAACACACAGAGAAAAAAAGCGAGTCACACATATGTTTTGGTTTCTGGTTCGATTCAAATATTAACATCAAATTTGCAAGATACAATTACCCGTGTTTACTCATTTAAAGTGCACAATATTATATATATATTATTTTACAGTTTTTTTTTTTTTTGAAACGTTAAAAGCAAAGAGAATGTGTCATGTGTGTGTTATATATTTCACAATCTAAAGTATTTTTTTTTACTTAAAGGGAATACGTCCCACAGACTAGGCGACAATTCGAAATGGTTTATTCTAGTCGTCATTAGTCAAATATCGGTGAACACTACAATGGTAAAAAAAAAACATGCTTTACACGATTGGAAGAAATCCAAAAGAACTATACAACACACGCAGGTTTTTTTTAGTATTCCACCATTTATAACATGAACTCGTGTTCGCAGACACTCAGTCGGCGTACATTAACACTATATATTTTCCAATTAATTACAACTAAATTAAACACCGACATACATCACATTTTTCGTTTGCCCTCCCAACTCGTGTTTACAACGCTAAATAAATGATTATTATTAGAGTCCTTATTTATACTCCATAAGGAAACGCCTTCGACGAGATTAATGTTTGGTGCCTTTTAAATTCTCTCAAACGACTGCCTCAACTAACAAAAATTTTAAAGAAAATGGGCGGATAAACCGTGTGGGTAATGTTATTAAACCGTTAATGTGGCCACGAAAAAAATTGAATTTAAATCGCCAAAAAGTTATAACTATGTGAGTCATTTATAATAACACAAACCTACACTCATAATTATTAGCACTGACGTCCACGCGGTATTGGCAAAAGTCACATTAACCGTGTTATATTTTTATTGAGAGTAAACGGTGTTTAACACAAGCACACTCTAAAACGCAACGAGACCAAGACCGAAATAGTGGAAGCTTTCAGCTAACAAAATTCTAATTTAGTACTTACAAAACGATTTCGCTAAACAGTCCAACATTTTTGTTTTTCTAAGATCTGTTTTTTTTAACTACACGGTAGGTAGGTCAAGTGCCAAAGCCCTTAATTTAAAATGGGTAAATAAAGAGATTTTCATAGTTGTTTCGTTTAAACAACAAAAAACAATTTCAAATTAATTTATAGATACAATTTTTTTTTAATATTAATGTAATTGTTTTTTTGTTTGGCATATGACAATGGCTTTGAAATCACTCAAAAGTCGCTACAAATGTCGTACATGCGAGGTCATAATTTTATGTGACGTGTATTGACACAGCTGATTTATAGTTTAAATTTAATTTATTACTATTACTATATACTATTTTCCCGAAAACCGACCTTGTTACATATTTTATTGATCCAAGAATTTTTACCCTGCTAAATGCTAATATTTGCCATTTGGTGAACAAGTATAACACCACAAACAACGTCACCATCAGGAAATACTTATAAATTCAAATTAGCGGTTGTTTTTTTTAACAGCACAGGTATAATATTATAATATATTATTGCGTTAACTATTTTATGCTATACGTACACTGAAAACAACCTAATGCAGTCTGATAGCAAAATTATTTTAGGTCTGCCCTATTAGTATTGAATCCAAGATAACAGTGTTTTTTTTTATTAACATGTTCTTTTTATCGCCTAAGTAAATGGCAATGACACGCTGAACATACTTTAGCATTTTATTTTGAGTAAATTCCGCCGTCGTTTTAAAAAACTGGTTTATTCATTTCTACATCGGTTTTTTTACGAACTCATTCTGTCTGATAAAACTTGACTGATAAAAATATCAGAGTTTAGAATTATTCGACTTAGAAACTAATACATACATATAATTTGAATAGACCTTTAGAAAACCTTTCATTCAAATAATGTTGTTCTAATAAAATATTATCTTTTTATACGTGTTTCGATTTATTTTAGTTGTTATTTAATTGAATTTTGCTCAACTCTGATTATAGTTCATTAATTAGCTTTTGATTCAATAATAAAATATGGAGAGTAAGTTTCGATGCTGAAAAACAACTGATATATTTCCCTCCCATCGGTTTTTACTATTTTTAAGACAGTTTTCTTCCTAGAACTAAAACGCATTGTTTATGAGATGTACTAAACATTCAACTTCCTGAGGAGACCATTATTATTGTGTAAGTTTATGCGTTCTTTAAATAAGCAACGCCATGGGTACCATATGCGATCCGTGTCTGTCCAATCAAAGTAAGTCCGTCGAGGATATTTAAATGGGCGAGTTTATATTTAACTGAACGTGTTGCGAGAAGGGTGAAATAAAAGACACACAACTCGTTGTTCGTTACTATACGCTTTTAAAATCTGAATTAATACAAAATCTAGTTGTCTTTATAAAACAGTTGGTTCGTATTGACCATATATTTTGGTAAAACCTAAGTGAAATCTACGCATCTTGCTAACACGCTTAACACTGATAATCCGTGGGCAATCATCAACGATACAAAACATAATAATATACAAACTAATGAGAAATGCACGACATCAGGAATAATGTGAAATGATTTGCCAGGTCAAACGTTCTATTACCGAACCGTCAAACCAAAAATGTTTTCTACTAAATAAAAAATAAAAATATAACCAAGCAGATACGTGCAGTTTTATTTTTTACATTAGACTACTTAATCGAGAATACATAATATTATAATTCAATTTATAATATTACTTTTATTATGAAGTACATGGTTTTATGCGTTATTGTATTACATATTCTTTAAATACACATGTGGTGTTCTTATCTTTATTTCATCATTTCTTTATCCACTCCACACATTTCACACTCCACTCGTGTCTTTACTAGGCTTTATTTAATGACAATCACACACTTCTCCTTAATTGTACCTTTAAATCTCTCTACATCAAAATATCTCTTAATCATTTTATTTTCTAATTTTCTTTCCTTCATTTGAAGTGCCCAGATCTTAAATTATTTTCTCATCATATTTTCAATTGCTGTTGGCGCAATTTTTCAAATTTATGACCATAATGTTCATTTATTCATATATAAATATGTATGTATCATGTCAAATGTATTCATCCAAGTTAATTAAACGACTTAAAAATCAATTCGATTTTAAACAGATATAAATTATTATTTTGAGGCAAATTGTTGTATTGATGATAGTGATTAAAATTTAAAAGTGACGAAAAAAAATTGATTTTAATCAAAATAATTAAATATTTAAATATTTTGAAATTTGAATGTTTTGTTTAATAATTTAACTTTAAAATGTATAGAAGAGAAGATAATTTATAGATAGTATTTCGAATGTAGCTATTGGGGATCTAAAATTAGGAATTGAAAACGTTCAAGCCAAACTTTACACTATGAGTTATAACCACAACAAAAGTTTATTAAAATTATTGTCAGTCGGATAGCTTAACTGATTTTAAACTTGTAAAAAAAAAAAATTAATAAAAACCATTTTATAGTTGGAACGATTTCGTTTATGTCGTTCCGTAAGACAAAACTTAACTTTAAATTTATTAACATTTCTTTTTTAACAAGTTTAAAATCTGATCATCATACTGTCAATAATTTTAATCAAAGTTTGTTGTAGTTTTACAAATTAGTGCACATTTTGGCTGGATAACGTTTCCAATCCCTGTCTAAATCATGACTGGAAGGGTGGGGTGGGGGATACTAAGACCCCCTAATTACGCCTATGGAATTTATTAGGTCTCTTATCTTTTTTCTTTTTTCTACTCTTACCTATCGTCGCGCTACTAAACGTACCGCAAGGTTATTACATTGTGTATTTACGACGGTTTGTTCAAAGGGTGTAGGCCGTTTCCTGTTTGAATTAGATATGCACTCTCCGGTACTGCACACACAATGCATTTTATTACAGGATAGGTAGGTCGATTAAGTCCCACTCCAAAGACGGTCGCTTGACGTTTTCGCAATCAACAAGTCGATTGTTTTCATTTGGCCATAATTATTTTTTTTTATTATTATTATCATCGTTATGTTATGCCGCAGTGGATGCGCCAAGAATGCCGTTTTAGTCAGTCGGTCGTCAATGACCTCGGACGACGAACCGTCACAGTTTTGCCACCCATATGAGAGACTACCAAGTATAATAATAATAATGATAATAATATCATCATTATTATATATGTACGTAGATTTATACAAGCTACAGCCGTTTAACCGGACGACTTCCTCGCACACCGACCATACACACACCCATTTATACTTCGAGCGTTTAACAGTTCTTTCGTAATTTCCTCACACACACACACACACACACTTCACAACTCATTCCACATAGACCCCCTCTCATCCAAAAACATATATCCTTCTAAGCTATCTACCTACTGGGCTCAAGTAACCGAATAAAGCACTGTACGACCGGAGGTACACATCGGATAGGATGAAATCGTGAAAGTAATCGTTAATTTCGTGTACAGTCCAATATGGAATGACCACGTGGGAAATACATAACATAACAGTATATACAGTATATTATTAAAATATCTATTTGGCTGCGAGATGCCAAACGGGACATATCGACTAATTAAAAAATAAATCTAAACCGACCTTGCTCTACGATACTTGGTCAAGCCTCGGAATAATTTCACTGGGAGCAGCACAAAAATATAACTAGGTATATTTTTGGCTAGACATTTTTTAAACTGCCTCCCAACGGCCTCAGAAATTGTTGTAGAATTCCTAGTATTTTTTTTAACAAGAAAATTTCGATTTTTGTTTTGCAAGTTGTTTTTGGATGCGATTTAAAAAATCCTTTCAATTTTAATACGCGTGCCATATATTGAGTTCAGTGGTTATAAGTCATAGGTGATATAATAATTAATACCGTTGCGTATATTATATAAATGTAATTGAAAGTTATGAAACGCATGCCACTTATAGTTTTTGTTATTTTATATGCATCATACGTATTTATTGAAACAGTACAGCTTTTTTTCTAATTTATAAAAAAAAATATCAGCTGTACATTCTATACACTTGATTAATAATATCCTCGTAAAGGATAAAGGTATTTGTACGATTGCATGATTTGATTTGATGGCTTTCTGACAATTGTACATTAAAACACATGAAATGCCAATCCAAATAGAAGCAGTTACGCTATATCTTATAATAGCAGCTCTGCCTAAACCGTTTGAAACGTCAACGAACAACATATCAAATTCGAACGGTTTATAATCGAAAAAAAATGTAGGGAAATAATATGATTTGTGTGCAACGGCTGTTATTCACATAATAAGTATCCTATATAGTTTATTAAACGATTAGTTTAAAGCAAAACCAATACTTGCTAACGCAATGACACGCAGCATTATTAAATCTTTAGGTCGTGGACTTGGAATATAAAAAAGAAGAATTGCGTTATTTTGTATACTTTTGGGGATAGTGATTTTTCTTTTTTTCACAAACAAAAATAATATCTTATACTTGTAATCTAATAAAATTATTGAAAATACAAAATACTTCCTAGTTGTCAGAATTGGGTCGTTTAAGTAGAATAATAAAAAAAACCAGTACCCGGTCCCGTTGAAACGTGCCCCCCCCCTAACTTTTAATAGTAAAAGTAAAATTCTTAACGCAGTATTTTTTCAAGAAAAAATAGATTTCTTTAATAGTAAGGTAAAAAATTGATAAGTAAGGTAAAATTAATAGTAAGCGAATATCAGGTTGTCCACAATAGAACTCAATTGATATAATAATAATATTATATTTTATAATGTTCGAATAAAATATCCATTTTGTTTTTATTCGTTATTTAATTATATTTTGACCAACTCTGATTTCTGGCTTTCACGAAGTTAAGTTTGGCCACTGAACAAAACATTCTTGATGCTCATCTATTGTTTTAAAATAATTTGTTCCTTTGAATACCTACATTACCTATATTATGTAAATGTACATACTTAACATATTGACAAGCCTGCACTAAAATCGTAAATGTGCGGAGAAACGAGGTATACAATTTTAAAAAGAAAGTAATATTTCCAAATTACATTACCAAGATGACAAATATAAAACGCAAATACGTCATTATTAAAAGTAAATATTTTTTTTAGTGCTTTCCAAGTAAACTGAACCCGAATGCCACTTCCAATCATTCGTATGCCAGACAATAATAGTTCCTTGAAAACAATAAAAAATAAGAACGTCATGCAACTTTTATTATCTGTTGGGTGGGGTTTATTGTAGGTTTGGATATAAACTGTCTAAACATCAGTGAACACAATGCACGTAACTTATGCGCTTTTAGTACATTTGGCCAACTGTTATATATGTTGTTGATTTTTTTTTTACAAACACGATTTTTATTTACCACGCGATAGAATAACATTATAATATTTGGACATACTTTTGTAAATAAGTCAAAACAAATGTTTCCACGAGTTAGTGTAAGTTTAAATTAAATTAAAATCGTAGTATTTATCTAACAGATCGTAAGGTGCCTATTACTATATTTACAAATATTTCTAAATTATCGTTGTGTCGTTAATAATAAATAAATTCTATTAACGAGTAATAATTAATTATAAACAAATAACTAATAACAATTAATTTTGTCATAAAAATAAGCAAATAATAAGTCATTAAATAAATTAGAATGGTTTTTATTTATTCGAATAATGCCCAATCATTATCAGCGATTAACCATAACAACTATATCGGTTGTTGTCGTTGAAATAGTATTACAATATTGAATAAACGATTTTCTAATTATGTATAAATTTCAGGTAGGTAGGTACTTAATTAATAACATAATATACTGTGATAAAGAGTGCATGTAAAGTGTGTTTATGTAAAACTCAATATCTTTAATCTCACTAAACGCATTGTTATCTAGCAGATTGTACAACAAGTAGGTTAGACAAATATAACAATTATTTTCTTTTAAACATTTTACTAGTGTCCAATTAAACGGGCATGTTTAGATTTCGCCACAATTAGATATGTATAATATACTACATTGAGTTCAGAAACAGTTATATAAATACCATGTGTTTAACACTTAAATGGTTTAAGTACCTAATTCATACAAATTTTTACTAAATTACTTTTGTTATATTATCATAAGGACGAGAAACTAGAGAATAGTATCCATATAATACATATTTTGATTTTTGTGTTTATTTCGTTTAAAATAAATTTAAAAAGTCGAATAGAAGTGTGATAACTGATAAAATAGTATTTTCCCTCCAGTTTACATTATTGATAACAGACAATAATGTTATCATTTATTGTAAGTAAATTGTAGAAAAACTAGTAACTTAATAATTATTATAAGTTAAAATGGTAAATTTGGTCGATCATTAATAACTTATCTAATTAAATAAATCGTAAAGATGGAATTTCGATAATCTACAAAATTGTTCTACTCATAATTCTACCCCGTGTCAAAATACAAGTCTTTAAGTTTAGAACTGTAAGTACATTTATTCTTTATTAAAAAAAAAAATAAGAACTTTATCATCATTATCTAACGTCAACAGTCTCTAACAAATTGATAAAATTAACAAATTATGGTACCTATTATAATAATAGCTCTCAACTTTCACTGACAGATAATCACGTAGGTTATTAACCTTTTTAAGTGTAAGTGGTTCCTTCATTAATCACCAATTATTTTGCTGTAAAATAGTGTTGATTTGAAAATTTGTATTTAGGATTGCAATCAGTATAAATGTATTTGTAAATTCATCATATTTCTAATGTTTACCACGTTTAGCCTATTTTTTTAGCTTCGTTACAGAAGTCCACCTTGAGGCGTTTGGTACCAGATAATTATGAAGTGGCAAAATATAGTTATTATTTTACATAAATAGTTCTAAATGGCATTTATACAAAGCCAATTAATTAAAGGGTACCTATACCATTATTATTTTTTATTTGTTGCAATATTTTTTAATTTATCAAATTTATTTTTCTAAGAATTGCGGCAAAAGTTAAGTTAAAAAAGACTACCTTTCAATTATCAGTATTTTATTGTCTGCTACAACTGCCAATTAAAAAAAAAAAAAAATGTAATCTAATCCGAACCTGAGTATAATTTAAATAAAAAAATTAGTTAATAAAAAACTTAAAAGAATTTATTTTATTTTATTTGAACAATTTCATACAAGTAATAACTTCAAATAAATTTGTATTTGAAAGAATTTAAATAAATATAGTGATTAGAATACAAACATTAGTATAATTTATATTCAAATTTCAATAATTATTTAAAATAACAAGATTTATAAACTCAAAAAATAAGTAATAAAATAAAAATTGTTTTTATTTTAACAAAATTTGACTAAAAGAAACTTAAAATATTTTTTATTTAAATAAAAATGAAAATACTTTCTAATTGAAATAAATAAATCTTTTTAATAACAGACTATCTAAAACAGTTAAAACGAAAAAGTATTTAAATAAAATATTATTTGAAGCAACAAATAAAAATGTATTTCAAATTAAACATTATTTTAAAATAATTTGTTATTTTATACTTTTTTAATATTTCAAAATACATTTTATTTAAAACATTTTTATTTCATTTTTTTTATCTGTTATTTTAAATTGATAGTTAATTAGTTCTATTATTTGAACTTTTATTTAAATATTTAGTTTTAATTAAAAATCATTTAATTATTATTTTTATTTGTTATCTATACGAATTTAGATTTGTTATGGAAACCGGAAGAGAAGAGACCTCGAGGCTGACCAAGGAAAAGGCGGATGTAGAAGATCTTAAAGCTTTAGGAGTGGAAGAATGGAAGGAAATTGTTCATGATTGAGAGCGACGGAGAGATATAGTGATGGCGGTACAAACTCTAATAGAGTATATAACTTTGATCAATTACAATTAATGGTATTTGAAATATTATTTTAAAACAAAATTTTTTTTAAATAAAAATAATAATAAAATTGTATTTATTAATTGAGTTTATATTACAATTATTATTTAAATAACTACCAAATTTGAATCATTATTTCGAGAAAGTTAGTTTATAGAAACCTAAATTTTAGTATTTTTAAGAGGCGTTGAAATAGTTATGGAAATTGTAATTTTGAAAATTGGCAATAGTAGGTAAGGCTTTAAAATAGTATGAACGTTAGATTAAAAAAAAAATTATGACTTAATTACAAATATAATATTCAATTTTATAATTGATATTCTTTTAAATATACTGCAGAGGTCATTTTGGTTATGATTTTAAAAGAATTTAAGGTTAAGTCTATACTTAAAAAATAATAATTGACCTGTCTAAGGTTATTCTATAGAAAAAAAATGGAATTGTATAGAATAATACAATAGTATTGATAACTATAGATACACTCCTCCTACCTAAATCTATACCCATACGATTTTGTAATAATGTAGGTTAGGTGTTCCTACATTATGACAAAACAACTTTTGTTATTCTGGAATATTATATTGTCACGCTACATACAAAACGGTTGAAGATTTTTGAACAGAAACAAACCCTCTTCATCTTGACAAGATAATGTGATTCATATATTTAATATTTTTATTATATGCCTACCTACTACCTAGTTTGCAACATAGACAGCAGGTGCACGAATTATGTATCTTTATTTTGGTTTGCCTACCATTGGTGACGTACCCATACAATAATGGTGTAGCACATAGTACCCTGTTTCCAGATAATGAAGAGAATTATGCAAAGATTAAAGAAGTTTTAAAGATTTACCGCATACGTTAAATGTTAAATAATAAAAATAGCAGATAAATGTACAGAAGTAAAAGAAATTCAACTTAAAACATTGGTGCTAAATGTTTCAAATGATTCCATGCATTCTCACATATAAAATTAACTAGAATAAAATATTAGATTAATAGTCAAGGCCGTAAGACAATGAACCGAATAAAAGATATTACAACTCAAACTAATTAAGCGTTAATTAAAAAAGGAGCGCCTTTTTTTTTTTTTGTTATTCGCTTTTATGCAAAAAGTAACGAAATTAAAACAAATATTTAAATACAATTTCTTAAATTGTCATAAGATATTAATAATTGTGGTTTTATCATAAGGTTGCTGAACATAACATAAATTTACCTAATCAATCGTCACATTAATGTACAAAATAAAATTTCATTAGAAATTGTTTCCACAATATTAATTACAACCTAACATATCTAGTTAAGAAAGTCATAATAGAAGCGTACAATATATTATTTTCCACTCACTTTAACAATTTCTTCGCTTTCGAGCAATGTTTGTAGTCCTCCATTTTTAATCAATTGTGGACAAGCAATCAGATCAAATATAAAACACGTTCCGTCTTCGTTGACTATTTGCATCAAACTAAGTTGACCGTTGGCTCCAACACACACGCCTTCAAAATCTACACCGACGGGTGATTTTTGGGCTAACATTTTATCGACAATGTTTAACGACTCCTTGGTGCTTGTCACTATAGCTTTAACGCTGTTTGCCATTTTTCCTTTCCAAGCATCGCCGTCGTCATGGCCGTTTGTTGTTCTATTATTGCGTTCGGTGTTCTCGGCAATTGTCTTCATAACTAAACTATTGATACGCTGTTTCAGCGATTGGTTTTTTATTGGTTTTGGTAACGGTGGAGACATGGGCGGCGTCAACGGAACTACTTCAATAGGAGTTCGAGTAATTTTTGGTTCTGGCTTAGGACTATTTTTCACTAATGTAATCAAATTTGATTGCGTATTAAACTGTTCAGGGTTCATTTTCAGGAATGTGAATAGATCCGTAGGCGTTTTAAATATTGACGACCATGTATTTTCTGTGAAACGCAACGAGATACTATGAAACAACTGATCGGTAAGCATAGGTCCTTTGCATTCCAAACACTGTACGCAAAAAGTTAAAAGGCGTTTGGTGACTTCCGGATCAATTTTCGTTTCTAGTTTTTCGCTGTCGTCATACATTTTTCGTTCTAGACCAGCATACTCAGTGAGTATGACGCTATCTTCTCCGACGGTGAATACATCTGGGTATCTTATTAAAAAATCTCTAAACTCTTTGATATGCAATCCGGATATGAGTCGAATTTCTGGCGGAGCCTGAGAACGATGGCCGAGAAGACATCGAATAGGAACTTCGGTTCCAACTCCGTATTTTAATAACTTATCTCTGAAGTAATCGACCGCCTTGTGGTTGTAATTGGAGTCGGTCTGAACGGGCGCAACGATTTGAGACGCAGCCACTAGATCACCGTCCACTGTGAACAACGACGGGTGTTGCGATAGGAATTTTTTCAAACCCGACTGCGAACCTCCGGCGATTTGTCGCATTTCTTTGGTGAAGCCTTTGGAACCGAACTGGCAACTAAGATCGTGCAGCGATCTCGGAGTACCCTTGTCCAAAAGTTTTTCAAAGAAAAACAGCAGGGTTTGATTTCTCACCGATTCGTATTCAGAACTATCCATTACGAAGAGTAGGTAGGTGTATTATTTTAAGTTTTATAATAATATGAACTTGAGATATGCACGATGATAATATTATATTATGCCTATTTGTTAAAATTCACAGTCATTCATAGGTACATGATTAAATTGTTTATGTATAGCTCAGTGTCGACGAGCTTATACATTTTTGAAAAAAAAAGATTAAAAACGGTCTAAGAAATAAAATAAAAAATATGTAAAAAAAAAAAAATTAACCGAACGCCTAAACTAAGCACCGATCAACAGGACGAGTACCAAAATACTGAGGTTTGACGGCTTCGGTTAATGTACACAACAGCAGCTCAAGAATGCAATACTATCGTGTCGGTATCGTAGACGAAGGTATTTAGCCTTGAATTATTCGTGTTGGCAACACTGCGTGGGGATCGTGATAAAATTCGTATAGCGTAGAAATTAAAAAAACTAATTTAATTTACCAAATTTAATTTGTTGGTTAAAACCCGAATCGTGAATACAGTTTTTTGTTTTAATTTAAATTTTCGTTAGCATGAATTTTGGCAAAACTATAGTGTACAATATTTTTGTATTTGCTCAACTTTTCAACGTTGCACATACTGTATTCGCGTTATCGGCAAATAGTAAATGGCGCGTTATTCAAAAAATGATTTCATCCGACAACAGGTGTATTGTGTACATTTTGGCATGAAGTAAACAAATACCTAACGAATTAAACGAAACGTAACAAGACATTGTTGCATCAAAGTATCGAATATCCAAGCGTTTGTATTATAAATGAGAGATTTCTCGAGTTTCATAGGTTTTTAAATTTAATATTATGTTTATCACGTGGAATAGTTTTATCAAAAACTACAACCATGATTACATATGTTATAAAATCATATCTCGTACTTCTCAAACCCGGACAAATCGAGTAATTAATTTTAAAAAAGTGAAACTTATCAATTCGGTACCTTGAGCTAAGAATTTAAACAAAATAAACACACATGGTGGTGTTTTGCAAGCTCTCCTTAGTTTATTGTATATTTTTTTATTTTTACTATAATCGGTTGGATTACTGTAGCAATATATATATATATATATATATATATATATGTTAACTATAATAGTCATACGCTGTTCACTTTTTGTATTTTTAATTATTGTAAATTAAATCCAATATTTTGCCTATAGTAATCGCTAATAGGCTACATATGTTTTCGGCTGTATAAGAGTTTGCCTACACATGACCTAACCAAACGTGCATTGATATAATAATTTAAAATAGAATATGATATTTTTTGTATGTTTTATACAATTTATTGAGCAATTATTTTACAAAACATATTATTATCATTTACATAATACAGTACAAATTATTTATAAATTATACACGTGCGATTTTCTAAGTGAATAAAAAACACAATATACGACACAACAGGTTTGTTGAAACGGATTATTTTCAACGCTTTATTGTAAATGTTTTCATTTAATTTTTACATGGACGGTAGTTCGGTCACTATATTGGTCATTATTGTTGGCGGTTGTACCGTTGGTCCTCCAAAAGACGTGATGAAGACGTTGACGACAGTTATTAGAAATATGCCAACAATGACATAGTTTCCCAGCTTAAACGCCATCGCTCGTTGGTCGCTGTGAGTCACGTTGTACCGGGCACTCAACAAAAGCGTTATGCCCACTAATATCTGACATGAAAGAAAAAAATATATACATTTAAATTAATTTATAAATAAAGGATTACCCATAAGTATTGTTCAACTACACGAGAACAACGCATTTTGGCAAGAAGACCTGACGAGTAACAGATGTATTGTACCTACAATCAACGGACAGGGTGTAAACGTGACCGGACTAGGTTCCTAGTGAAGGAAACATAAAATGGGGACTGAGTAATTAAGAAACAGGTCATGACCGATGGTCAGTCGGAAGACATTGTCTGATGTATGGAAAACACTGGTAAACACTCGGAATCCTATTAAATCAGTCGACATGTCATTAAATTTTAATTTTACAGGAACCACAAAAAACTCAATTACTTCAGAAATTTAACTTAGTTTGCATTTTCACCTATTTAAGCGTTCATATGTAGGATCTATGGTATTCACGACTTGTGGTTATAACTAGTCTACATGTGACCATATAGTTTAATAAATCACTGCACAAAATATTTGACTTATGTTGTTTTTGAAAGAAATAAAAATGTATTATATCAAAATTAGATAAAAATAAAATAAAATGTGTATAGGTAACAGATGTTTTTAAATTCAATTAATATGAATGCAAGTAAGTAGATAACCAGTAGCGTATGTGAGGAGTTTGTAAAAAAAAAATGTAGTTTATGCATAAAATAAGTATCAATTGTGTATTGTGAAACAAAAACGTCAAGCCCTATTTGATACATTTTGCACTTTTATTTACCTATTAAAAATACTAAATATTATGTTATTTGCAAAAATCAATAAAATACAAGTTTTTATAAAGAAAACGATAACTTATGACAAAGAAAAAACAAATGTAATCTATCTAGGACAATTTTTAATTTTGTGAAATTTTCAAACGGCTATTCTCGGAAACGACGTTTTTGAACTTGATATGTTTTGCATGAACGGGCCCATATTTATATAATAATTGTTTTTCCTAGTCAGAACTATTAAAAACGATTTGGTGATAATCTAATGTAAAAAAAATTACTATTTTAGAATATATTAAGACGTTTAGAATAGCCGCGTGACATCATCATTGGTGGGTCGGACTGCTTTTTTCAATTTCTCATAACTCATTTAATAATGTCAGTAAAACCGTGAAACCTATATCATTTTTTTTTTTTTTAGAAATGAACATACTTCCAAGCTAAAATAACTTATTTTTTGCGATTCGTGCTCATTTAGATTGAAATGACCGCAAAAGGAATCGGTTTTGACCGAAAAAGGGGCTGCCATCAAAAAAATGTGTGTGCGTTTCGAATTACCTGCAAGACGATGCTAACCAGCAACATGATTACACAGATAACATAAAACACATCGCCGTTGCCGGTTTCCAAGACGTATCTCAGCTGGTTGGCATTTGCTGAAAACAGAGCCACGTCCATCATGCCGTGGGATATCAGTTTCTTGTTTCTGTACAAATTGAACGCTCTGGGAGTGTCATCGTCGAGGATCTATCGAAAATATATCAAAGACTGTTAATACCCTAGAGTATAACTATTGGATGTCTGTATGTGGGTGGAGTCAATATTATTCCAATAGGCCGTTTGACTGAAATTTCATCAGGTCACGATACGCTTAGGAGATGCAAGGAATCGATTGTTATTATTTCACTAACCGCATTTGTGGTCGAAGGGTCGATTATCAAGTTGGTGTTCTCAGCGGTCTGATCGTCGCCAGCTGGATTGTACGAGACCCTTACGGTAGAATCGTTGGCATCTCGCGCGCTTCTCTGTGCAGAACCATTCGGTTCAATGGAGTTGTCATTCATCGTGTTGGACCCCGTCGGAGTTGTCGAAATCGCTTCTTGGATTCGGCCCAAGTGGTCGGGAAGAATAACTGTCGAACAGGGTTGATGGTAACAAATTTAGACTTTCCGCCGACACTAGTTACGACCGCAGCAGTCCGATCGTTATTGAAAATGGTCCGTTTAAAACTGCCGCGTTTATCATCGACCGTCAATGAAATTGCACTTGACGGATAGTTGTTGTGCCGTTCCGCAAAAGGGGATAGCCACGTTGTTCGAACCACTTGCCACGTGTAAACGTCATAATTATTGTGTAACATAATACACGATTCGCCTTGAAGACAGCTGCAGCACGTGAACTTGCAGCAAAACACAATGCACAGCACATAAGAGCATTGCACGCAATTGCTTTCCGAGATTTTTTATTAAGCGTGCTGGTTTTGTGTAATTAATGACTGTGACGGGTTCTGACAGAATGATCGTAGAGTCCAGGTGCAAATAACAACAACGAGCTTTTTTTATTGTGACAGACGTCGGCACAGTGTAATGCTTTAATTAAGGTTTGCCATGACTTATAAGTAGAATTTTTGCAAACAAATTGAGGCGTTCTCTAGACAAAGGGCCAATCGAGTGGTAGGCATTTTTTTCCAGCACATGGTCTTAAATGAATTACCGTAACGATGAGTAACCTCTAATAGTTTTAAGTAGTAGTCAAAATGTTTTACAATAAAAGCATTAAAACATTTTAGACAAACTATCGATAATAACAAATAGATATTATTTATTTTCTTCGTTTGTCGTGCGCTGTATAATAATTAATTCTGTAATCGATTCTAGTGCAAACTAGTTTTTTTTTCATTGGCTCATAACAAAATGTAATGTCAATAAAAATTAAATAAATCATATTGCCGTATTTTATTATTATTCGCTAATAAACATTTGTTATGTGTATCCAAGCGACGCGTAAAAAGTGTGTTTATGATTTTGGTGTTTAATATTTTACAATAATTAAACAACGTACTACATTTTGAATAATTTTCTATTTTACATATTATATTAAACACCGTTTAATTTATTGTGATACGATTAATATGAGTTGTGCAAATAATTGTATTTTGTGTTATTTATCATCTACTGATTCAAGAACTAGTTACCGACGATGGTACAAGAGAATCGCGAAACTATACAATTGTTATAATGTGTTGTGAAATTTGAAACATAATGTGTATTTTAAGGTAGGTAAAAGGACATATTTTTTAAGACTATAATATAGTGAGACCAACGTTAATGTATACAGATGAATGTTGTACATTAAAAACAATTAAGGTACAAAAAATAAATGGAAGTAGTAGGAATAAAAATGCTAAGTTGACGGAGTGAATAGACAAAATAGATTAAAAGATAGTGTATAATAATTAAAAGAAATACTAACGTAATAATACATATATAGTAATGTTGAAAACAACAGCTAATTATTTATAAATTATAATTATCTATTGAACAATTTGTATAGTTTTATAATTTACTTATAAAAAAAAATCTGTTGCAAAATAAAATATATTAATGACAAACAACTGTAGGTATCATATATTTTTAAGTTTTAACTTTATATGGTTACAAAAACTACTATTGTAAAACTATTATTGTTTTTTTCGAAAATAGGTTGGTTTTGAAAGAACTTTGTTTTGTCATTTGTGCACTTAAATGTTAGAACTATTGCATTGTAGAACCATGATTTTACAATTATATTAGATGAATTTTATGTTAACAATTGTGATAATAATATAAAAGAAAATAGAGAAATAATAGGTACAAAAAAATAATTATTATTTCGATAGTAAAAATGAGTTTTGGTCTTCAAAATAAGAAACATTTGAAATATCAACGGACAAAAAATCTAGATCTCACGATACATAAACCATAGATAAAAAAAATGCATTACATTGTTTTACTTAAACTTCTTTTATTATGATTTTTATCGATAGAATAGCATCCACAATAGTATAATATGGTTAAAATCTATAAAGTAAATATTTGTTTTATGAATGATAATAAGACCCCAAACTAAGAAAAAAATAGTCTATCTGAACTTGCGTCAGTATAATGTAAATATGAAATACATTTTTAAAAATATCAGCTGTGTAAATACTCTTGGTCGACATAAAAGCCCATTGAAAAGTCGTTATAGAAAATCATTATAAAAACAGATTAACATATTGATAAATTTATATTTTCCTCATTAGGTTCTTGTATTTCAATAGTTTAAGAGTATTACTTGTTTTATACATATTAAAAAACTTCTAAAATAGTAAGTACATATTTTGTTATACATTTTATTAAGTTTTACTCATTTCAAAAGTGTAATTTTAAGTTTAAAATGTAAATATTATTAGACCTTTTTCTCTCCTTAATAAGTCAGTGGTTTTACAAACTGCGTGGACCTGATCATATAATATTTGTGGAAAAAAAATATAACTTGTTGTAGCATTTTAGCTCCACATTGAAGCTGATGATTAAATGGTTACTGAATCGGAAATGATTTAATGTTTAATAACATTTTTGCAGATCAAAATGAAAATTTTACCTATTTTAATAGCGTTTGCCTTGGTAAATGTTTTGGTAGCTGAAATAAGTGATTATTTTATTTGTACACGTACTTACACGAGGCAATAGACAATTTTATAAAAAATTTAATATTTCACTTTTTTTTTTACAGATAAATATGTAAAGGAGGTTATCCTGACAAGTCAGTAAACATTTTTTTCATATAAAGTAATCGTTTAAAGTCTTGCTTAATGTGTATAATTGTTTACAGACGAACATATTAAGCTTGTAGAAGGTAAAATATATTTAAATTTAAATAATCAAATAATAAAATGCTTACAATATTATGTTTGTCAGAGATGTTTAAATTGATTTTTAACCTAAAAATTGTATTTTTTTATAATCTATTCAAATGACTTGAACATACCAGAGTTATAAACTTAGCGTAGATTAATACTTCATTTATATTTTTATCCCGAGAAACAGTTTCTACAATTTAATTAGAACCCACTAATAATTCATTACAGACAGTGACTATTTAACCTAACAAGCTGAGTAATGTCAAGTGAAATAGAACAATACATATTAAGCTAGGAGTATTCAACTATACGTCGTAGTTAAACTGACAAAACAGTTAAGTTGTAGTTCCACAAACGAACTACTCAAAAATAACTAAAACTAAATAATTAAATACTGCATATTATTGAAAAAACTTAATTAAATCGATGTGATGCAAATAGGATTTTTAAGTTAGTTAAGAAACATAAATGGTCAAGCAAAGTTAGAACGGCCACCTCGCTTAGTGAGAAGAAGGGAGTGAAGAAAATATAATGTGATACGGTATTTTCCAGTTATCTCAAGGTTTTCAACAAAAATACAGATGTATTTTTTAAGTTGCTCTTATAGTTCTAGTTGCATCAAAAAGTAATAATTTAAAATCTTTAATAGGTAGCACCTATTAAGAACATATTAATATAAGAAACATAATTAATCAAGAAGTGCACAATTCTCTTGTTTTCTGTAACATTTTTTATATACTAATCATATCATATCATATAATCATTAAAATCCCTAAAAAAGAACTGACAAGGGGAGGTCACAGTGATGGCGTGACGGATTTTCTTCAAATTGCGAATGAATGTTATTTATGAGAAATAAAAAGACCCTTATTCGAGCGTTTGTGCCAATGCGTCCTAATTCCAGAGATAATCAACTTTGAAATTTACATATTTTTTCGGTATATCTTAAATAGACCTATTTTACAATCGCCGGTAAAAACTAAATGTGGTGCAGTCGAGCATGATCGGTACTCCGGAGCGCGCAATACCGGGTTCAACTCTGGCTACCGCCGCAGCACTTTTTGCATTTTTTTACAACTTTTTTTTAACTTTTATGGTAATTTATATTACAAGAAGTCTAAAAACTTATAAAATATTTATATTTTATTACTACAGAATACATTTTTACCCTTAAAAGTACTTGATAACCTATATTCCATTCGGTTTTTCGTCATTTATTATACCTCTCGTACTGATGATTGAATAACAATTTTTTTTGTATAATTGCACTATTGTATAGTGCAATTTAACCTGTAAAGTTGTAAGACTAAAAAAATAATTTTTTTCCATTTTTCTATAATAGTTATTGGTTATTACATCCCACCCGGGTCGTAATTTCCCCAATGAAGATAAATTATAATATCACCATCAACATTAATACACTACATTGCTTAACAGAGTATAAATGTATTTTTTTTGGTTGTAAAAAAATTATTAATTAATAACCAATAACTATTATAGAAAAATGGAAAAAAATTATTTTACGAGAGGTATAATAAATGACGAAAAACCGAATGGAATATAGGTTATCAAGTACTTTTAAGGGTAAAAATGTATTCTGTAGTAATAAAATATAAATATTTTATAAGTTTTTAGACTTCTTGTAATATAAATTACCATAAAAGTTAAAAAAAAGTTGTAAAAAAATGCAAAAAGTGCTGCGGCGGTAGCCAGAGTTGAACCCGGTATTGCGCGCTCCGGAGTACCGATCATGCTCGACTGCACCACATTTAGTTTTTACCGGCGATTGTAAAATAGGTCTATTTAAGATATACCGAAAAAATATGTAAATTTCAAAGTTGATTATCTCTGGAATTAGGACGCATTGGCACAAACGCTCGAATAAGGGTCTTTTTATTTCTCATAAATAACATTCATTCGCAATTTGAAGAAAATCCGTCACGCCATCACTGTGACTTCCCCTTGTGAGAGAAATGTTAAAATATAAAAAAAATTTGCTAAGCTGAATTTAATCCCAGGGTTTTTTAAAAACATTTTATTATTTTATTTCTTAACTGTGTACAACCACAAGTATTGCTTAAGTATTTTCTATCTCTTTTTATAGCTAAACTCATTATTTGTTTATTTTAGATGATTTGCCGGCAATCATAAAAGACATTGTCCTTAAAGGATACATTATGTGTAATTATATTTATATTTAGATAAATGATAAAGCATGCTAATAGATAAAAATCTTTTAAATTAAAATATATGTTATATTTTTTTTTTTTTAAATCCTAAAATAAATGTGTCTTATGCTTGACTTTTTCAAATAAAATCTTAAATTTTATTTCTTTTAAATAATACATTTATTTTATGTTAATTTCAGTGGAAATGGCTTTCATGTTAGTAATGGCGGGTAATAATTATGTTAACATATTATGGAATTATTTTAATATAGCGTTTTGATATTCATTAAGTATAAAATGGTTTTGTTTTAATTTCAGGAACCAAAGAAAACGTCGATGACGATGGAATATATGGTAAATACTTAGTAAATACATTTTTCATATATTTTGTGAATAATCACACAATTACATTAAAATATGTTTTGTTTTAAATTGTAGATATGACAGCATGCCAGCGTCTTGTGCGATCACATATATATTCTGTAACAGGTAGATATAAAAATAAAATTTTTGTATACGAACAATGATTACATTTAATAATAATTGTATGGTTTAAAATAAAAATTCTTCTTTCCTGTATTATAATTTTTGCTTAATGTTTCGACGGTCGTTAAAACTTATTAAAATCATCACTTCAAACGCGGCTACTATACGTTTTAAAATTATTTTATATTGAATAAGTTGTCTAAGTATACTGAATTGTAGAATAACTGTTAAACACATTATTTTTTTAACCTTGTAATTATTTGTTTTATTTTTTGGTTATAGGTATCAAAGCACCTAAGATAAACGAAGGTAATCACAATAATTATTCATGAATATGATATTTTTAAGAGTCGGGGAAGCTCCCCCGTGGCCAATATCTTGCCAACTTATTTGACAATACCTAAAAAAGTTAGAGCGCTTAAGTTGAAAAATAAATAAATGTTGTAAGGTGTATTTATCGATTTTGTAGGTGTAGTGGTTAACATTTAAAATATTGATTTAATAATGTAGATTTTAGGTATAAGTAAAAAAGGTAGGCTGTACATAAAATGGCAACATTATAGTTCTTTAAGATGTAATTCAACTATATCAATAGCGACTAGCTACTAGGGTTGGGACTAATATTCGGATTTTGCGGATATCCGGATTATTTGATATCCGGATAATTCGGATACGGATATCCGAAATCCGGATAATTTCGGATATCCGGATAACTGATCAACTATCCGGATATCCGAAACTATCCGGATAGTTTCGGATGTCAAATAATGTTTCAATTATCCGTAGAACCAAAATTATCCGAATAGTTTCGGATATTCATTTAATTTTTAACCAGCCGAGTATATTTTTTTGAGTACTCAAATTTATGTATTTTTTGAAATTTTCACGGGTTGTAATATCACGTGGATGATTTTAGATATATCCGTGTCAGTGGTTATTAACCGGCAGCGAAACAGTCGTGACAACCCCGAGGATGGACTCTGCAAAGAGTCCGAATAGTCGGTTAACAACCACTGACACGGATATATCTAAAAATCATTCATGTGATAGTAAAATTTAATTAGGTGTCATTATTTTATTATTCGGTATGTTTAAAAACACTGTATATTATTAAGAAATATTTGTCTTATAAAAATGAAATGAATATCCGAAACTATCCGGGTAGTTAAAAATTATCCAGATAGTTTCGGATATCCGATTATCCGGATAGGCCCAACCCTACTAACAACTAATTATTTGAAAACTTGTTTTTATCGTTTGTTTTAAAGGCGATTTTGAAAACGCTAATCTGTCATATTTGGGATGGGAAAGAAGACTATCAACTCTTCCAGCTATAAAAAAATTAATCCGTACTGTAATAAGTAAGTATACATATCAAATTTAATGCATATCAATTTTGATTACCATTTTATATATAAATATTTGTATAAATTTCTATAAAATTAGTCACCAACTTAAGGTATTAATTTTAATTGTATTCATTTGTAAAAAAAGTTATTAAAAAGTTATTAAAAAGTTATTAAATTATTAATAATCAGAATAAAATAAAAATAATAATTGATTTACAGACAATTATTCTTTTTACAGTAAGACACAGTTAAATTTTTTTCAATAATATAACTATAGAGCGTCAACAAAATCGAATTTTATTAAAATGACAAATTTTATTCTATTTATTATGAAACAAACAACTGTTTTATTTTACAATTTTTGAAGTTGTGTCTTACACAGAAAGAAAAGTCGTATCGAATGAGCTAAATTTAATAATATTTGTATTTTTTAGGTGAAAAAGATCCAGATTTTGCAATTTATCTCAAGATGTGTCGTTTAATAGGGTTGTTCAGAGCAATTGAAAACCCAGCTTTATGCATAATGACTGCTGGTATCGATGGTGAAAATTGTTATATAGCGGCTTTAGATGACATATACTTCATATACAGATTCTTTGAAGGAAACTATTATGAAGTTGACAAAGATGAGAATCCAGTCCATGTCCTCAATGATCAAATCAAGGACAATATGATCGAAAGTTTTTAGTGTATAATCCAATATAATTGATATATATATATATATATATATATATATTAGGGTGGTCCTTAAAAAGTAGATTTTCGAACTTTAACCTCGACGCCCCTTGAAATGTTTCTAAATACAATAAACATAAGATCAAAAAAAGAAAATTTGAAAAATATTAATTTTAACCCGTGCACTATACACAAAAGTTCATACCTGTCAAAATTGTTGCCAGAAAATGAAAATTTATTCAGGTTTTTTGGTCAAAATTAATATTTAAAATTTTTTTTTTTATCTTATAAACATTTTAGGGGGCGTCGAGGTTAAAATTCGAAAATCTACTTTTTAAGGACCACAATAATAAAAAATATGTGGTCATATTGTTAGGTTAGGGTCGATTATTAAATATAGCTATTAAAGTTTATTGTGTATTATTTGTATTGGCTAAAAATAATTATAATGTACCCGCAGTAGTGACAATATTTGTTCGCCATACATGAGTAGGAATAAGTTGCTTAGCACCAAAAAATTCAAAATCGCCTGGACGATAAATAAACAATGCTAAAATAAATGGCCGCTAAGTAAAAAAAAAAAAAGTCTTAAAATATATGACATAACATATTATAGCAACTAAGTAAATACCGTAATGAAATATATGTATTGTAAATCGTTGTCAACTAATCAAATCCGTCTACAAAATTTAATTTTGCCGGAAGTCTAATTCTGTTTACCTACTTCCGACCTAGCAAATACAGCACATATTATGAAAATAGTAGAAAAACTATAGCGGGAAAATAAGGAAAAGCAACCACGCCTCGCGGTGCCTTAAAAAATATTGTACTTATTTGCTTGTAAATAAGAAAGTATTCAACCAACTTTTTAATAATTTTAATAACACATCTACACGACTGTCCCGATCTACTGATATCTTATATGATCATTATTTATGTCCAGCCGTTCGCTCTCAAAATTGTGTCAAAATTTATGGTAAATACCATTATCGCTAAAAACGTTGTACTTAATGACAAAAATGAACTTATAAATGTATTTTTGTTATTATAAGCTGGATACGATCAAGGCTGATCGACCGTGTATAGTAATTTATCACCATAGAAACAAACAATTAAAATAACAATTTTTCATTGCAGTCAAAGAGCAATTGTCCATTTAAAAAAAAAAAAAAATGTTCACATTTTAAAAAACGGTGGAAATGGTTACAAATTAGTATGTAATTTTCACATTTAGATATATTACTAATAAATGCAGTTTTTTTTTTTAATAAACTCAAGTCGTTACATTTGGAAAGTTTTTAATAATTATGAGACGTTTCACGCTTGTATACACAAAAAAATTATACACCTTAATTTTTGAAATCCAGAAAAACACCTGATAAATTTACATATTTTTCTACTTGTAATAATTATTTTACACCTATGACCCCCACCCCCCCCTTGTTACTGGTTTTTATTATTTTGATTTTGTAATAAAACTTTTCGTACACGCATTTTGCTACCAAGCCGATACAATCGTCAATATTATACTTATGTGTAATCACAAATGTTTCAAGATTTAATACGCACATATAGTCATAAAACAAATATTAATCTAAACGACAATGTGTGCAAAAAACAGACACGGTACTCCTTCAAAACAAAACTCCTATGTAATTTGTACACGTGATTTTTATAAAAAAAAATGAATATATTTTGCATAAAATTCTAAAATTGTATGTTTGTGCGAGAATATTATTAACCTATGATTTATTATAACCTTCGAATTTAAAAATATAAAGTTATATTGACAAGTACTCACACAAATGCAAAAAAATAAAAATCGAGGGCAACGATTATATACATTGGTATTCTAAAAATATTCTGTAATTAGTTATTTTGTATCCATAGTTTCACAACGTACCGTTTGTTTGAAAATGATTACACCACTTTCAAACAAAATAATTTATTCCTGAACACCTTTGCCCTCTCATTGTCTAATATACTTTGACACCAATGTGCCTCGACTTCACTTGGTGTTAAAACGAATTAAATTTTCAATATAACTGTCATGACAACATTGGTGTAAGAAATATTAAACATATTTTCACATTAGAAGCATTCAACTTCAAACGAAAATGAAAATCGAATTTTGATTGTATTAAATTGTCTATTAAACACTGGACTCGGTTAGCAGTAACTAACAGTTGAACAAACTGAAGCTAACCAGTTAATAGTAACTGGTTAGCTTCAGGTTTTTTAAACTTTCAATAACTAAACTGTCGATATAATAGTATCATATTACACAATGTTATAAAGAATGAATTAACTTGTGATAATAACCGCTTTTATAGTTATTTCAACATATTTCATTGAGTGTGGTTAATAAAAACGGATTTTACAAACATTTTAAGCTACTGCGTTTTGGAAAACCGGAGAATTGTGAAGAATTACAAGAGGAAATGTAATATCCATACAAAGTCATAGCAAATGAACAGATAGATGCATCATAATATTAAAAATAAAAACAGCTATGTAAATAAATAAACAAAGGCACTGCAAAATTTATAAACGCCAATATTCAAAAGTCGCTAAAAATAGTTACTTTAAAATAGTTTAACAAACAGATCAATTGTTATTTTGCTCATGAATGTCCCTATTTCGGTAGTTGAAGTTTATTACTTACACTATATTGTACTTATTAATCATCTTCTGACATTGTAAGCACATTTTGTAGACAACATTAGTTTAAGTGTTACTAATTATTAGCTTCGATGGGGAGCTGAAAAGGTACTTACAATGATATGTTTTTTTTAATTTGATGAAATCAAATTTAGACGTGTTTTTATTTTTGTGGTTCACCGAGTTTGAGTACAAGAAGAAAAGTGAACACATATTTGTAAAACCAATATCTTTACAACTCCTGTTAGAAGCTTATGGTGACTGAATCTAATACCTACATAAAGATTAATTGTTTATTATAATTTTTTGCAGATAAAAAATGAAACAATTATTTATTTTAATATCATTCGCATTGGTCGGCCATGTTTTGGTCGCTAAATTAGGTGATTATTTAATTTTTGCAATCGTTGTAGAAATCTACAAAAAAAAAATCAATATTAATTTTTTTTTTACAGATGACTATATTCAGCAGGTTCTCATAACAAGTCAGTAGAAACTTTTTTTTGTACAAAAAAATATTTTATGTTTTAATATTGTTGTACAATTTACCACAGACGATGACATCAAGCAAGCAAAAGGTAACATTTGTTTAATTTTAAAATAATAAATAATGTCTAAAAAAAAAAATACTATATTTTAATGTCTTTGGTATGTTGTTTGGATGACTTGTCAAATGATTTTTAAATTAAAAATCTTTGTTTCTGTAGTCTGTTTAGGCTAAGAATAAATGAGATGAGAGAACCAGTGTTCTAAACACAATGTGACCTATGCAAATCAAATCATTTATATTTCTGTTAAAGGAGTAGTATCTATAATTTACTTACCTACAGACAGATTTAACCTAACACGACAAGTAGCATTAAGTAAAATGGTTACCATACTTTAGAGCATGTGGCTCACTCTTTTTCTGTAATCTTTAATATTTATTAATATTCCATTTGAGACTTTTTATGTGATGTAATAAAATTGTTTGTTTATTCCAGAATTCCTGCCGACAATAATTAAAAACATGGTTGCGAGATCTGATGTATATGGGATGGGTATTAAAATTATATAATAAATAAACATTAAACATATAATAACGAAAAAGCATGCTAGAAGATAAAAGTTTTTTCAAATTTATAAATGATTGTAAAATCTTAAATTTTAAATGTTACTCTACATCTTTTTATTTCAACGTAGAGTTTTTTTATTTCAATTAAAATAAAAAATAATATAAAATATTTTTAAGTTATACTTTTACGTTATCTTAATTTCAGAGGCAATGGCTTTTATGTTGGCAGTACCGGGTAATACCTTAACCTTTTATGCAAAATTTCACAGGTTTTTGGTACCCCCCCCCCCTCCTAAATCTAGCTTCTGACTTAAAAAATTAACTTTTAATTATTACTGTGAGTCATTTTTTCAAAATCTATGTCTGTATATTCTTTGTGCTAGCCAGGAGAGTGAACGCAGAGAAACCGAGTTCGAGGGTGTTGGCCACACTGTAATTTTTGTATTTTTCTTCGACTTTTTTGTACTTAAAAAATTATTAAAACTTGAGGGGGGGTATTATATTTACACTCTTTACATGACTTGAGGTTACTCCCACTTGGATGTCTTGACTAGTAACCTCAAGTCATGTAAAAAGTTTTTTGTACCCTTTTGTCAACGCCTTCCGAAAATCCATCACAACCAAACGTTACCAAATGAACTGTGAACTACGTTCTTATTTTAATTTTTTTTTTACATTAGAATAATAGAATAAATGTAATGCCACGAATAAATACTTTGACGTTATGTTAATTTCAGAGAAAATTGATTGCGTATTGCAAGCGCCAAGTAATATTTTTCTTAACATTTTATGAACATGTTATTAACATAGTTGTATTAATTGATACTCGTTAAGTACAAAATGTTTTTATTTTGGTTTCAGAATTTACTTACCAAGACTCTGATGGTAAAATATAATATTGTTTTTCAACATAGTTACTTGTTATTGATTAAGTAAAACATGTTTTAATTTTAATTTTATGCTACATTATAATTGAGAGTGATTTATTAATCAATTATTTACTCTATCTTATGGCAACTAGTTGTGTTATAATACATATTTTTTTATCAAGGTTGAAATTCTGATACTAAAAAACTGACACTAGTCTACTTGCCTAGGTATCCTATTGTTTTTCAGTCGAGTAAACATTTGCTGGTAAAACTTACTAATAGTAGAAATATATAAGGGTGTTACATTTAACTACAGTTTTTAAATATAGCTGTTATTTGATATTCATTGAGTACAAAATGTTTTTGTTTTATTTTTAGAAAGTGAAAACTCAGATTCTGATGGTAAAATAATAATGCATTAAAATTTTTTAATATAGTTATTTGATATTCATTAAGTACAACATTTTATTATTTTTTTTTTAGAAAGTGTAAACCCAGATTCTGGTGGTAAAATAATAATGCATTTTGAAGGTAAACATATATTTAAAATATTGATATATATCATAAGAAATTATTTACATTAAAATTAATTTATTTTTCAATGTTAGATAAGTTAGAGTACCAGAAAATGATGCAATCAGCAATAAGTGATGTAACGGGTAAACAAAAAAATTAAACTTTTTATAGGAACAATTATTTTATTATTATAATATGGTTCTAAGTAATAATGATAAATATTCTAAGTTTAGCCAAAACCCTTTTTTTTATGATAGTCCAAATCTTTATTTTAAATGAGACTACTAGAAGTTCATACATTATTGTCTAATGGTATTTTTTAATAAAATTATGAAGTACGCATGTAGATAACATTATAACACTAAGGGCTTTATTTTTTATTTAACAATCTGTTTAAAGTAAATGTCATAGAGAAATTATAAACAAAAAATGTTAGTTGAATGTATATTATTCTAAATTGTCTTACAGATCCAAATCTAGATCCAAATCAAAATCTTGATCCGCCTATTGTTCCCGGAAGAGGTAATCATGAATTTATTCGATAGCCATAAATATTCCTTAAGTGTTAGATTATCAAGATTGCAAAAAACTGCTACCTCCAAAAACATATAATGATTCAATGTTTTTCTGTGAAACTGAGAAATTTAACGTGTGTGTTGATTTTTTTTCAAAAAAATTTTTAACTTTAACATTTCACAATTTTGCTAAAGATAGTATGACCTGTAATTAATAGTCGAAAATTGAGTGCGGCATTGATATTCATTTCAAATTGTCGTTTCAGTAATTGTCAAAAAGAAATGTTTAAATACCATGTACCTAATGTAATCAAATTTGTGATAATATCTATGGGTACTGCTTAACTTTTACCATTATTAAACGGCACTATAGATATGGGAGCGGATGATTAAAACATTGTCCAAATCGCTAATTCAAACGAGGCTACTAGATGTTTTTACATTATCTTACACTGATTGAATTGATTAAGTGTTTTCAATTTTAGGATGAATGTGATGGATATAATTTAAAAATATTTTTTTTAATCGTATAATTGTTTAATATTTTGGTTACAGAACGTATCGGTTCACCTACAGTAAAATTAGGTAATCACGATCATACATGAATTTTTTCTTAGGGTTTGCTAACTACCGTATAGCACGTTGGTTAGTCTATTTGTCCTGCCAGTTTCATTAAACCAAATGCGTGTTACAAATTAAAAAACTGAATGTACTGTTTGAAAGGTTGAAATAGGTTCAATTAAATTTACTCAGACTTTGAGTGACATAACTAAATTAAAAAAAAAGAAGTGCAAAAATAGAGTATTTAAATTTTTTTGGTACTAGTAACAGGTCGTGCAAAAATTGAAAGAATTACGTTGTTACGCAATGTTTTGTGATATAATCAACAAATTTTATTTTTATTACCGATTATCAAAACGATAATTTATGTTTTTTTGCAGAAAATTTAGCCAGTCTTTTAGGAGAGAGAACAATTCATCCGACAAGAACTCTAAAAAATAGAATCATCCGTTCATTTGGTAAGTGTTTATATGGTGTTGTAATGACTTTATTATATATATTATAATATATAAACCAATGAAAATAATTGATTTAAAAAAATTGTTCTGTTACAATAATAATAATAATAATGTCTGTTTATTAAGGTATCTTTATATCCTATTATATTATACCAGCCAATGGTAACATTATGACCATAATTATTTGTCTTTGTTCGTGTAGCGTGTTTTAATGTCAATTAATTTTCAAGGTGTTAAATGGGTATAAATGATTCAATCGCAAGCAACTAACTATTTTTTTGTTTGTAATTAAGATCTGACTTCTTTGGGCAGTGCTAGAAGAGATATGACTTTAGAAGCTATAACATTGTTAATACGTAAGTGTACATACAGTATATATGATGTTAGTCATATTCAGATTACATTTTATCTGTTCGATATAGTTCTTCGATTGCCTACAGATCCTTTGGGTTTTTATGTCCATTCTATTTAACACCAATTTTGTTGCTTAAAAATCACCTACCTAATATGTTATATCCAGATCTTACCTATATACATAGAAATATATTATATCTAACCCTATGTATTGTTTTAATTTTCTACGATTTATTATACACGTGTGAAATTTTGTCTTGTAAATTAAGAAAATTAGTAAGAAATAAGCTAAATTCGGTAATTTGTTTTCAAGGTCAAGACGATCCACTTTTCCAGGATTTGAGGATGATGTGTCGTTTAGTAGGAGTATTTAGAAGCATTAAATACCCACGTACATATATACATATTGCTGATCTTGACGAAGACTTTTGCATTTTAATAGATGAAACTTTCGTAGGAGGTCACGTTTATAAATTCTTTAATGGTGAACATTGGAAGGTAAAATTAGAAGATTTTTCTTCAGTTAGGCGTTTTTCTTCTGAGTTTCAATAACTTAAGAATTAGGAACTATAATAATAACCTATTTCATAGTGATATTTTAGTTTTGTTTAAACAATTGTTTGATACCGCACCGATTTCTAAATTGTCAATAAATTTAATGTACTTCACAATAAACAGTTTAAATCACTATAATTAAAATATTTGTTGCTTATGAATTGTATACTGTTATTTAATACTGCCCCTAACTTTCTTACTGTGTTGGTTTTTTAATGTGCTTAGTTTGGACTGTACCGGTTTGAATAGTACTAACCACTGATTGGCATTGAAGGGTTGTTATTTGTCATGTCATTAGGATGACAATTGTGCGTTTAAAGTATAAGCGTATAGCTGACACTGTTTAGGCTATACAAATTAAAATAACAAAATGTTATTTATACTTATAAATAACATTTATAAGAACAAGTACCTCTCAAGCCGTAAATTCCCATTCTAAATTATTAAATATTATGAATAAGTTTCAGTCTTCATGGTAAAAAACGTTTTAAATATCATCGGAAAAAAATCTAGACCTTAGGTTAAAATCTTAGACAAGAAAAAAGCAAAATAAATTCATTACATTGGTTAAAATATTATACCTAAGTAAACATTTGTTTTACGAGTGATGTAACCGCATATACTTCAAATACAGATACCTTGATGGAAATTATTATGAAGTTGACAAATATGACAATCTAGTCTATGTCCTTGATGATCAAATCAAGGAGAATAATTAGACGATTGATAGTTTTCATAGTATATTTAGATTTGGGAAATTTTAAATAAAAATAAATTAAATTCGAAAAAAAATTGTTTTGTCTTACATTATTTTATATAGTTAATTTGTATACTAATTAAATAAATAAATAATGTATATGAATAGATTTTGTATGTCTTTGTATACAACATTTCAAACCTCATAAAATAACATATTTTAAAAATATTCGTTTGGTTTTTAATGTATAATAACAATATGGGTTTAATTGGCATTAATTATGGATTTTTTTGGTTAAAAAAATTTGTAGAAATAATCTTAGGTTAGGTTCGATTATTAAAAATAGCTAATTACAATGTTTGTCTGTCATAGTAATATGTGGCTTAGCAACAGAAAATTTAAAATCGACTGGATGATAAATAAACAATAACCATTTCTTGTATAACGTCGACTTGAATAGTAGTTTTTCTCTTGATATAAATAAAACAATTACTACAACACGGTATAATCTACACGGATTGAAAGAAGCTTTTTAGAATCTAAACCTACAATTTTTCATAGACTATCATTATGAACATAACACGATTTAATTTTTATCATTTTTAATTTAGATAGTTTGAAATTTAATAAAATTACCAATTTTGTGAGTAAAGGTTCGTTTGTTAACCAATTAAACGGCTGTTGCCATAGGCAATTGTAGTGCATATCGGTCCAGAACACCAGCGTACTAACTCGATTAAAATCAGGAGTTACCATAAACGAGAATCGAGCTGAATGATATTTTTATAACAGTCTTATTATTAATGAAACCATTTGGTTTGACATACATGTATAATTTTTATTTGTATTGTTGTATTTATTTAGTATTGTTTATCGAATTCGTGCCTTGGCCTTAATTTTTCTTGGCCTTAAAAACACTGGTGTGGTACGATGTGCGTTTCCATATTTGCACTGTTTACATAAATGAAAATATAGTAATCGTTTATATAATTTTTTTTTTGCAAGTTATAAGACTGTAAACATTATTTAGATACCCATATTGAATTTGCGCTATTATAATGTACACCTGACGTCGACAAATGCAGTTTTGTTATGAACTTCATGGCCAACCTGACCTATTTACGATATTCTAAAATAATTAAAAAATTACTTATGTGAATCGTTTTTATCATACACTAATATTTTTAGGTAATTTTTTTTTTCCCTCCGCTAACATGATTTAAGGTGGGCTGATTTTGGAATCTCTTATAGCAACCTGTTTAATAACTTAAATATGCATGCAAGTTTAGATATTTTTTAGAGTAAAGTAGAATTATATTGAACTTTGAAGTTATTATCAAGTTGACAAAAAGGAGAATCCATGTCTTTGATAATCAAGTAAAGTAATTTGATAATTTGTTTTTACCTATCTTAAGTTTTCATAATATATAATTCAGTATAAATTAACATATTGTATATATATATATATTAAATTGTTTTCTTATTTTAAATCTTTTTAATCTAATTTAAACTTATTTAATAGTTAATTCGTATACTAGTTAAATACATGAATAATGTATATGAATAATTTATTTGTGCCATAAAATACAACTTTTCAAACCTTATAAAGTAACATTTGTAATCTATTCTTTTGATGATTTTTAATTTATAATAACGATATAAATTTTATTTGCATTGATTATGGACTTTTATGGTTGGACAAATTTGTTGTAATACTTTTAGGTTAGGTTCGGTTATCAAATATAGCTATATTCCTATATTATTTACATTGGCTAAAAGTAATTATAACGCTCCCGCAGTAATAGTAATATTTGTTCGTCATACACCAGTAATAAGTTGCTTAGCAACAGAGAATTTATTTAAATTCGTCTCGAAGATAAATAAACAATAATCATTACTTTTACATACTCAAACAATTGTTTTCTTAATAAAGTTCAGTGATTTCTTGAGAAACACATGTATATTATTGGTTTACCGTGACTTTTCCAATGGATAACAGTGTTCGAAAGGATTATGACGGCAGAATTTTTGCAAACAGCGGCTGTCGAAAAAGTCAATTGTCGACCAATTTGAATGAACGTGTATCTGATAATTTGTACTGTATTTATTATTTACAAAGTAAGAACATATTCAAACGGAAATGCATACAATTATCTAATAAGCTTTGATAATAAATTATAGCTATAATACCTAATCTTATAAAAATGTGTAGTTTATTTCTTATGATGAACAATTTGTGCCTGAAATTTTTTACTAACAATAAAAAGTATTTTTTTTAGTAGTTTTTTGTTTGTAGTTTGTAACTTATTATTATGTTATTTTCCTCGTCATACCTCACATTATTATACATTCCTTCTAGTAAATGATAAAAATTTAAAATCGATGCTGATCAGTCAATGTTGACTACAAAGTTATAAGTTCATTGGGTTTCAAGTAAAGGAACTTTACTTCCTTCGATTTTCTATGCTATTAGCAAGTTGCACAACAGAACTGTTTACATTACAGCTCTGTTATTCAGTTCGGTTATTTATTAACTATTACAGCTGATATCAACGCTTGGATATGAACGAATAACATTTATTATGGAAGCTATTATGAAAATAGTAAGTAAATATTCAAATATTATTAAAACGGTTTTGCTTTCTTGAACGTATAATTTACTAATTAAAATCATTTATGAGAATAATTTTTATTTTATTAATAATTCTTTCGTAACAAAGAAAACTAGTATCTAGTAAGCTAAAGTTTGAAATTTGTTTAAAAAAAAAAGGTTTTATATTTTAAGGTAACGTTGAATCTCTCTATTGGGTTGTTCAGAAGTTTGATAAATTTCCAAAGTGACTTATATACGGTCAAGGCTGAGGTGGAAAATGGTATTTGTGAACTAACTACTATAATGGACATTGTTAGCCATCACGTACATTTTGTGGGCGGAATTGATGAAGTCCTAATTGACGATGATTCAATAAGACTAGAAAAATTTAACTAGCAGTTGGCATCACAGTTTATGCCACATGTTAAAGTTGAATCATTAATCAAGTTTTTGCTTACCGCACAAATATCCAAATTGTCAGTAATTGTATGTGTTTCATAATAAACAGTTTTTCTCAATATCATATTGTTATACAAATTATATTGTTGACATTTGTTGATTTGTGTACAGGATTGCAACTACTATATTCAGATTCGCATCGAAGAGTTTTTTTTTTTTTTCTAAACAAAGGTTTCTCCTTTTACCAAAACGTTATAAATGTTATGCACTTAGGGCATTTTTGCATAAAGCCATTCATCAAGTTTAATGTAGAAATTGATCAGGTAGTACGTCTGCAGGCGGCCTGTCAGGCTAAGGTCGGTTTTCAGTTGTGATTGTAAGTCCTCGATTTCGGGCTAAGCCTGCAGAACGGTGATCAGACTGCCCTCGTACGCCAGTTGGATAGAAACATCAGCAGCAGTCATCTAGTAATCATTTTATTGATAAATATTATACTTACACATTTTATGCATGGGACCCTAGTACATTTTCTTAATAAAATACTATTCTAGTGCGGTGTGTTTGGGAAAGTTTAGCCTTTTTATAATACATTGTTCTAGACAAATGTATTTTTTGTTAGGTTAAGTAATAGCTGTTCTGACAGTATGCGTCTCATATAATATTGTCCGTGAACGACAGCACGTGCAACGGCCTAGTGGCGTTGGACTCACGCTTGTACCGTTTGCGCCTGGACGCAAACACGACCGAGTCGTTAGCCGTCAGGATGCGCCGGACGAAGTAGCCGAAGTGTTCGGCCGGCACAATTTGGTGCCGCCGGACCAGCGCCTGGAAATCGTTGCCCGAGCCTGCCGACGAGTTGATCGGTAGTAAATTTGCTGGCAGCCGGTCAGGCTCAAGTCGGTTACAAGCAGTGACTGTTGGTTGTCGATTTTGAGTTCGGCCTGCGCGGATGGTGATCAGGCTGGCCCAGGTACGCCAGTCGGATTGGAACACCTGCTGCGGTTTCCGCAGCCGATCAACGTGCCGAACGCGTAGAAAAACACTGACTGCCGGTCGCAGAACACGGACGGCTGGTCGTAGAACAGGAACGCCGATGGACAGGACTAGTACGACGTCGGCGGCGACGGCCACGCTGCTAAGTGACCGACGAGTATTCCACATCGTAGTCGCACCAAGCGGATGGGTCGCGGTCGATGGCGCTGGGCAGACCCCAAGTGAAGCAGTCCATTTGGACATTCTTGTTGAAGTCCTCTTCGGAATCGCCGTCGAACATCCGGATGAATCGCCCGAATGCCAAGTCGGCCTTGC